CACAAGATTAGATTTAGCTTTCATTCAAAACAACAAAATACTATGCCAGACATCTAGAAGAAAGGTACAACTCAAATCTGACCCTTCAAAATGTTACCTGCACTTCTAACACCACACTACAATCTCATCTTTTATAGACCATACACTTACCACACAGCTGTGAAAAGCACACAGAGCCCTGCTTTCAGTGCCTGCCCCCATTTGCTTTTAACTTTAAAAGAAAAAACAACTTTTTGATCTGTTTTTGTAAAATCTAACAATATGGCTTCCTAAGGGKGCTGCCAGCCAATTTAACAGCAGGGAGTGACAGGAGAGTGGTTGAAGCTCCCATCACACACCMTGGCCAGGCTGGCTGTGTTGTGATGTGGCATTTGTGTCCCATCACCTGCCCAGGAGCTCTGGTACTCACACCTGCACACAGAACAAGGAGAAGAAGTATCAGGCTGCTGTGACTTTCAGCAGCAGAGACTGAAGCAGCTAAACTCAGAAGAAGCCAGAGGAATAGGCACAGTCAGGTGAGCAGCAGTGGTAAATGAGTGATAGCATACTCCTGTATCCAGCAAGATTTCCCAGGGTGATAACAGTGCAGCTGACAGCAGAATTTTATAATGGGTCTTCCAGAGTTTCTTAATCACAGAAGCTGGAATGCCTGTTTGCTTCCCTGCACTTGAAAAATCCAAACTGGAGCCAACCACACATTTTATTGTAGATGGCCACTGTGAGGATACTGCTGGGTGACAGGATAGTCTTTTGGAATAAGGCTCAAGCCCAGTGGTCTTCTCCACTTCTTCCCTATACATTGGCATTTTRACACATTACTTTATAAATTTATCCMATCTGACCTCAGTCTGTCCTTCATCAAAATCTTGTCTGTGTTCCAGTCTCAGCACTCTCTTCTCTCACTTTGTTCTGGGTGCCTGACACACTCTCCAAATTAGTTTCAAGACCACTACTCTTTCCTCCTTCAAATGTCTCCKCAAATCCACAAGACATTCACTAAAACATAACCAGCTGATAATGGCTAATAAAAACCAATTCAGTGTAACTACTGTTCAGATTACAGGAAAATATTGACTAAAGTAAGATTAAGTAAGGTTAAAAGAAGTTCAGAACCTTTATCACATTGATAGCAGTGTGCACCATTTTTACAAGGATGATTTTGAACATTACACCCATTACTGATAAACCTCCAGCAGGCCAGCCACAGTTTGAAAAAAGTCTGGCCCTGGTCAGTGCAAGGGCAGTAACTGGTTCTCTGCCAAGGCTGCTCAAAGCACTCTCTCCTGCAGCACTGACYGGTGATACTTTTTACACAGAGGAGTCCTCTCAGCAGAAAGCACATGAACATTGTGCAATTTACTGTTGCTTTATAGCTCAGGAAAATTAGGCATCTAACAAACACTTCTTGTATGTCCTTAAGGGCAGGGAGAATACTATGTAAAAGTTGACTGGCTCTCTATTGAGAAAAAAAAACCTCAAAACCTCAAGATCTTACAAATGCAGGAGAATTTTCTAAAAGCTGAAGACAGCGCTAGTATGTATCAAAATGAGATTCCTCTTTTTCCTCCCTCATATATTTTGACTAGTTCAAAAAAGCTGCAAGAAAAACAAAGAGAGCATTGTGCCTGCTTTTATTGGCTTATCCATACAAGCAGAAAATCACACATTCCAAAAGCAAAACAAAACTCCTTATAGAAACACAATCTAATTTTTTTTAAAGGATTGACATTAGGAGATGGTTTAATAAGCTACAGTACTGTGTCCACTGTCAGTAATTGTTTTTAACATTATTATAAAATCCTACTATAGATCCTACTATAAAATTCCATGATGCACTGGCAAAAATTAAGGAAACATGTTCTATAACTTAGGCTATGATTAGTTAACAATAGCGGCTGCTTTTTAACTCTAAAAGCTGACTTGCTTCAATCAGTATTGTAACTGGCACATCTGCAGACAGGAAATCCTCAACACCACCAAGTTTCCCAGCCTATTATCTGAGACACCTGGTGTGGGTGTGTTGATACAGAGCAAAACAATGAATCATATGGACTGCACACCAATTAACCAGCTTTAACTGTTAATGTGTTTAATCCTGAAGGGTGGAGCGCCCATTTGAACACTGAAAAAATTCAACACAAAATGCTCAAACTATTCATTTTGCTGTTTCTAAATATGGATTGTAACTCAAATCTATGACAAAAATCATAACACATGTAGTTCCTCTGTAYTGAAATAATGAGCAGTCTCCTGTTACAACTGAATTGCAATAGTCTGTCATGCAACCTTATTCCATTATAATTAACAGTAAACCAACATTTTTTTCTTATTATTTGAACTAATAGCTCTTTTTTCCATCTTAGACAAAAGTAAACAAATCGACTTGACATTTGACATGTGTGTCTCCAACTCAGTGTACTTTTCACAGAACCACAGAATGGGTTGGGTTTTTTACCAGAAAGTTAAGAAAAATCAAATACAGCATTTAGAAACCCACTTTTTGGAAACATTTTCATCTCACCTCATGAATATTATTCTACAGTTTTTAGGACTGCCACATGTCCAGATACCAAGACCTTTTTTTTTTGGTTTTGGCAAGCACTAGTCTGTTTAATTGGTTCTGATGAGAATAATACATTATTATAGGCAATTTCAAACATTTGTAGAGCCCAATGCACTTCTAAGAGAGTAGCAGTCACAGTAAGGAAAAGAAAACATTCATCACTACACACACCCTGCTCTCTGGGGTATTAGGAAGATATAAAGCTGACTTACCCAGGGAAATGGAAAAACTGGACAATAGATTAAGTCCACTGGGCAAAATATGAAGTGCTATAACTGATCTGTTTCTGATCCTGTAATAGAGCTATTCTACAACGACAAGAATTTAAATTTATCTTACAAACAAATGAAAGAGTACTGCTTCCCCACTACTCTAAAAYAGTATAAAAATAAAGTAGTTAAGGCGATTGCTAAAGCTGCTAATAAAACTGATCATTTGTCTGCATCAAAACAGATTTCTTGAGCAGTATGTTTAAGCCTATTTACTTTRCTTGCTAGGTATCATTTGCTTGCCAAATACTGTTACTACCTTTAGCCATGTATTACTCGTCTAGAATTCCAGATATTCACAAAGCTTTATAAGCACAAAAGACAAGAGCTCTTCTACTCTGGTGGGCTCACAGCCCATCTGAACCAGTACAAGAACTGAGAGCAGACTCCTATCTCRCATAGCAACAAATGAGCAGCTTAGGGAGGCATCACTGAGGGAGTATTTTCATATACTGGKCTGGAGCCTTATACCATCTATCATTTAGTGTGTTAGTCCTTGCAGGAAGTAGCACTTTGTCTCAAAGGATGCAAACCCCAGRTTTAATCCCCATTTCTGGTGATTATGCTCATAGACATTTGTCACATTCCTCTAAACTGATTTAGTCATCATATGTCAGTTCTGAGGGGTCTGACRTATGTGAAAGTTCCTAACCAGATTTCAAAAAGTTGCACAGTTTCTAGGATTAATATGCACTTATAGTGAACAGCTTCATCAAYCAATCAAGACTAGGGACTTAGAGAACACTACCTGCAACACAGAGCTWGCTGGAATTCACGTTCTTGCTCTAGTAAAAGCAAGGAACACTAGATGGTCACCATTTATTGCAGCTCATGCAAAAACAGTTACCACAGACTTCTAATATTCATAGCCACTTTAATGTATTTTTAGACTGTAAATGAACAGGCATGCAAGAAAATAATTAAACAACTATCAATGTTTAAGTGACTAAACATTTAATATACAGAAGTGAGGGGGAGCTGCTGTTTGACCCCTGATTTTCAGAATGGAAAGCATTGCAAATAAATGTTAAGATAATCATATTTACCTACTGCCCACATAAYTGTGTCAAAAGAATCCGTTTCTTCTTTGTTCAGGTCAGCATTTTTCCAAGTGACTTGTAATCTGTTGCTCTTCAATTTTTCCACTTTGGTTGGGAAACACCTCTTTAAAAACTTTGTGCCGTAGGATTCCATGTGCTCAGTTACTAAAGATGCCATTTGCTGTTGAGTAGTGAAACAAATTTGTTTTTTGTTAGATATATGACATTTTTAATGTAAAACCCTCCTTCAGCTGGGTCCAGGAAACCCCAGTAAATACTTTGTGCCTTTCAAACATTCTTTATCACTTAGTTACTATGCATTGCTAACATATGGTAATTTAGAGAGCCACTATGACCTGCAACTCCATTCCAAGAGGTATCTCTGAATACTCAAATTATTTAAAAACAAATTAAACAGTACATTAACAGAATAATTGCTTTTAAACCATTTGTTGTTTACACAATTAGATCATATTCAATTTACCACTACCATAATTATCATTACCATTTTCTATTAGTTTGATGAAAATTAAATACATTCATAAAACAAYAGAAGAAAAATACTTCCCTTTGCCATAACACCTGATATTTCTCTGCAATGACTGTGAATGACTAACATTTCATGGAAAGTTTTACTACAAAAAAAGAAATAATACTTTTGTCCTAAGAAACTGTTTGAAATAATGCCACACCACACTCCAGTAGTAAAGTGTTGCATCAGCAGGTTTATCCAAAGGTGTCAGTGCCCTTGACTGCAGGAATTCAGGTTGCACCTTGCCAGAGYATGTTTATTACTTAAAGGATATTATAACAATACCACTCACATAGAACAACTACACACAAGCTCTCTCAGCTTACAAAACTGTATTTTCAAAGTCAATATTAACTAATATGAAGGCAACAGCAGGATTATGTCTCTTCAGAAACATGAGAGCACACGAATCAGTTTCCATCAGACCCAAGGTGGCTGCAGAGTGAACATAATTATTTTATCTCCATTAATACTTTATTAACTTTGGTATGGCCATTGTGCTCTCCCTGCCTACAAGGATCAAGTTCTCAGAGCAAGCCCTACTGTAAGTGTTTGACCAAGTGCCACACACACACTGTTCCCTGCTTTCTCAGACCTCATGCTGTTACAGGTGTAGATTTCTTCAATGATGAGTGGAAATCCCAAGAATTATTCTTATACAATGTTTTGCAAACTCATGCCACCAGTTTTAAAGTATACAAGCTTTGTGGAAGCCACTGCAAAGTGAAGAGTGACATACAACCAGCTGTCACTAGTGTCACTAGCCCAGGTGGGACTTGTCACTGCCACTTAAGCAACAATACTCCTGCCTCAAAAACTGCACATATTAAGAAATGTTTGTAGAAGCAAACAGCACTTCTTTTAGGAGACAAAAATAATCAAATCTAACTTTTAATTTATTCATTAAGTAAGGAGATGTGAGATATTCTGTACTTGCCTGATCAAATCCACGAAGTGGGATACTTCTCATCATGACTGTAGTGTCCAATCCAATGCCTGTTAGAAATCCAGCACACTCAAGGGAAACATCTGGTGACGCACCAGTTAAGCAAACATAAAGAACAATTTAATATAAACACAGTAAGTAAGAGTAGTATACAAATGGACTTTTTACTCGGCSATAGCAAGTTCTCTTCACACAGACATCTTTAGCTTGCTTTTGAACATARAATAAAACTTGGAAGTCTACCAGTTAACACTGGTTTTTAAGATCCTGAGAATTTATCCTCAGCTGACCTTAATCTCTCTGATGCTACTGCATCAGAAACTATTACTATTCTCTTACCAAACCAACTATATGGCATGAGCAAACGAATTCTGAAAATTGAACTTCCATAGGAAAGACAGCTATGCTACTTATAATAACAGATAACCACAGGCTTTTTAAAGGATACAGCTGGCTCCAACAACCAACCTGTTACACAAAAAGAAGAAAAAAACAAAGCAGTGGAATGAGCTTGTGCATATTTTTGCACAATCAAAAAAACATTTTCTGATGTGGGCAACCCATTCACCAATTTCCAGTCAGCCAGTACCCCCAGCTGGCCTCATGGAATTGTGCACATCCAAATGRTGCAGCAGCTTTCTAACCAATTCCTCATGATTTATGGGGGCTTCATTCTGCTCCCTRTCCCCATCTTTCAGCTCATGGTCTGGGTACCCAGAGAACAACCGCTATTACTATTAAGGACTGAGGCAAAGAAGGCATTAAGTAACTCAACCTTTTCCTCATCCCTCCTCCCCTCACCACGTCGAATAAAGGATGGAGATTCTCCTGAGCCTTCCTTTTGTTGCTACTGTATTTATAGAAACAGTTTTATTGCCTCTTACAGCAGTAGCCAGATTAAGTTCTAATTGGGTTTTGGCCCCTCTAATTTTCTCCCTGTATAACCTCATGGCATCCTTGTAGTCCTCCCTCTTCTCCCAAAGRCATAAATACTCCATTTTTTCCTGAGTTCCAGCCAAAGCTCTCTATTCAGCCAGGCCAATCTTCCTCCCTGACAGCTCGTCTTTCAGCACATGGGGATGGTCTATCAATTAGATTATGTCCTCCTATCAAGCAGATTACAGTTCCGAATGCAAGATTTTATTCACTGCTAAATTTCCTTTTGATTTATAACCATCTGCTTTTAACTCATTGTATTTTTCCAAATGCCAAATATTTGCCCTTCCTGTCTTTAAACACTTGTGTAAGCAATTATAGAAAATGGGTTTAATAGATACTTAGACTGGCATTTACTAAATATATCCATTTTAATTCTTAAATAAAGCTCCAGCTCCCATCTCTCCCAATATTTCACACCCTTTCAATCAAGAGTATCACTGAAATTGTCTATCAACACTTCCAGTTTATGAGGTGTATCAGCTCTCCAGTACAGCAGTYTCCACGTCCCCAGCTGTCCTCTCTCTCCTGACCACATCCTCAGTTTCCCACATTTGCTGGGTGCCAAAGGCAGAATTCTCAGTCCCTGTTGTGCAGGTAAAAGTGGGTCCAAGCAGGCAKCCATTAACACTCAGCTGCTGGACAGGCTGCACTTGCACTCCTTTGCTGTTCATGTGTTATGCAGACGTGTTAAAATCTCAGTTAGGAGATGCAGCCCMCACAATATWTCCACTGACAACATAGCATTTTGTTAAGTTTTTGAATGGGCTTGGGGCCTATGCTTTACCCTAAACCAATCTGCAGCATCTCCCAGTTCTAAGAGCAAAGCTTTTAAACTTCTGAGKAGTGCAGACATGGAGGCTGCAGCTCTGTAAGCCCAAGGGACTGCACAGTCAGTACAACACACGTTTTCTCACAAAGGCTCCAGATAACATCTCCCTATCCTACAATAAAAACATACAACTTCTGAAGGTGTACAGAGAATAGGTTGACAAAGTGATTAAAATCTGCTGGTCTGGAGTTCATATATGACAAAGAATTTAACATAATGGGAAATAAATTTTCCAGCATTAAAGCTTTTGGTTCATCTGTGAATGGATGATCACTCCCTCATTAGCATGTAGCTTCTGGGARGTGCTGCAAAAAGTCATGTGCTGCCCATAAATAAATATCTACTGGAGATTCACAAGGAAAAGAATGAGAATTTCTGTAATTTGGGCATATATTCGCTCTTTTTCATTGGATGAAAAATAGATGTCAGCCCCACATTATTCACACTTTCTTGCACAAAACCAGGGCTCCTGGGCTTTATTGTCTAAYAGAAAAGTCAGGAAGGCAGAACCTAACCTCGTTCACACCTGCTCAATCTCTCACTCATTCGCAACACATTTCAAGGCATCTTTTCTAACTCACTCTGCCAAAACCCTTCATCTCAGTAGTGAGAGTGTCTTCCCAATGTTTGTATATCTAAGGGACTTTTAAGTTGATTAACAGTTTACTCGGTTTACTTTTTTTTTTAATATGAATAACTGCAGGACTGACAGTTCTATAACCTCCAGGCACGTAATTTGTAGCTGAGATATGTACATTTGGAGAGGGAGAAAAGAAAGACTAAGTACAACACAGCTCCGACTAAAAACAAAAGGTGTTAAACTGAACCTTGGGAATATTTATAATAGAAACAAATCCGACAGAAACAAACCCTTAACAACTCCCTCCTTCATTTGTTAAGACACAGCGTGATAAAGCACAGAAATGCTACTGTAACCCCTGCAGGCTTATTTTGACTAAATCTCAGGAATGCAACATATAAACACTAGACTCCCACATTACACTGTTACAACTTGCATTAGCGGCAACTGGACAAAAGCCACATTTTCACAGAGACATCTTACAGGGATAAATCTTATGTTTTGGTTTGGGTTTTTTTTTGGCGGGTGTGGGTGTTGCTTTTCTTAAAAACAATTTCCTTGCATAAATCATGCTTTCAAAATTCAAGAGGTGACTGATACACTACAAACAACAGCAAATTTACTTTTTTTCTAGAATTGTACCAAGAAGCCTCATTTATCTATTTCATGTTTAGCTTGACAAAGTGCATTTTTTATAGTAGAAAGTCACTGCCATGAATGGCAACGACTTTTTTTGCAAAAACACCAGTATTATAGTTTGAAGTCCCTCTTTCTTACATATACGTTTCATTTTCTAAAATTGCTCAATAGAGAAGAGAAAAAAATAGCATTATTGGACTTTCATGATAGCAAATCTGCATTTCCTATCACAATTATTTGCWTCAGAAAATTGCTTTGTAGTGCAGCGCTGACTTGGAATCTTGCTGTGCTATCTGTGTAAAAAAAGACTGTGGCATTTTAGTACTTCCATTAAAACCAATGTTTTAAYTCTGCAGTTAAGCAACAGCCTCCAAAGCAAAAGAAATGGCAGAATTAAACCATACGTCTCATCATATTTTCTTTTGTCATCAGAACTGCTTCAGCTTAGGAGAAGGTAAAATTATGTTGGGAGTTTGCCCCGATCGAGGAGTATTTTCACGTAGGGAGGAGCGGGGAYTGAGGCAGCTCGCAGTTGAGTTCATGCTGCCCTCTTGTGACTTGGGGTGTAATSGCTACAGCACAACCTAACGGTGAAAACGAGCGTTCAATTTGATTTTAGAAGGGAATTTCTTAAGAGGAGGAGTGGGGATATCTATCAGTTACCAATGAAGGTTGGTARTGTGATATTGATGCCTCACAAAGCACATTTTCAGAAGGAAAACAGAAGAAAAGTTGGTGTATAAAAGGCAATTTTGAACATTTTTTACCTTGTCATACAGAAAAGGTATGAATGCCAGCATGTTACAGCCATGGTAAGGTAACTTACGTTTTTCCAGGAGATTCTTTTAACCAGAACAGATCRTCACTTGTGATTCCATACTCCCGTGCACCTGCAATCTATGATCACACAGGTGAGGCCACAGTGCAAATCTTGCCAGCAAAAAAAGCTAATAGCAATTCAGGCTGCTTTGGCTGAAGTATAGCCAGCAGGCCAAGGGGAATATAGCTGGGGTTGCCCACTTCCAACCTGAATTACCCTGCAGCTCTAAGCAACATYAACATATAAACTGGAGCAAATTGTTTTTTACGGAAATGTTTTTTCTAAAAAGCCATCTTTTATACAGACAATTTTTTGTGTGACACAAGTACAAAAATCTCTCATTATGTAGCTTTATTTTTACGTTCTTTATTCTCCTTCATTGTGATCTGCAACACAACCAGCAAAGCAGTGGCATTATCAAATGGAAGGGTAACTTACATCTGTAGGATATTTTGGTCTTCCTCCAGTAGCAATGACAATATTATCTGCTGTAATAACAGTCTGCAAACAAAAATAAGAAATCAATATYAAGCATTTGCAATCCTTTTATCTGTCTTTGGATTTCATCTATGTACAAATAAGTTATAAATSAGAAAGCTGGCACTACCATCTGCTAGTTGTTACGTGACATAATAACTAGCAATGTRTTAAAAAAAAGGATGGAGATAAAACAAACTAATACATACAGGAGGTTCTCCTACCTATTCAATACCAGGTTTTGTTTTAATATTAACTTTACAATTGTTCTTATACTGAGCAAGATTAACTATTACTTGGAAACAATAGTAATTCACAAATGACAGCTGTTTAAAATCAATTTCTGCTTAGGGCAAAAAAGAGAGAACACAGCAGTAAATTCTGTCTCAGGCCTGGAGTGAAAGTATCTCAAAAGGAGAATGTTGCTAGAAAATCCTAGGCATCTACCCCMAAAAACATGATATTGAAGCTCATACTAACCAGCAATATTAACCAATTAACCCAAAAAAGGTGTTAAAAAGACATGTTCAGGCCTTGTTAAACATGCAGCAATGGCCACTATTCTGTTACCTGACCCAGCTGTGCGTTCACACTAATTGCCTCCCACACATAATTTGATATTACCAAGTTAATCACTCCTACAAATCACCTGAAGGAGGGAGACAGCTCAGAATTTGCATTTCTGAGAATTTACATTTCTGTAAGTATCAGCATGACTAAACAAGTTAAACAAAAATAATTTCCATCTGCAGAGAAAAGCAATGGCATCTAACAGCTCAAGCTAGGGACTCTGCAGGCATCAGTCAAGTTCACAAACAACTTCTCTAGGTGGAAATTGCAAATCTCACTCACCAAAAATATACTGAATACCTGAAGCAACTTGCTAAAGGACAATCTAGCAAAGTGAACAACACTGCAGGAATCAGCACATCTGCTCACCTCTTTACCTGCTTTTGTTAAACCACGGACTGTATGTGGATCAGCAAAACTTCCTTTCACGTTAAAATACTTCACCTTCCTGTTTCAAAGAAAACAGCATCAGCAATGCATATTTAACAAGAACAGGTATATAATACAGCTACCTTTTCCCCTATTAAAGTGCTAAACAAGATAGCAAACAGGTATAGAACCGTAAAACGAAGGAATCTCATTTCATAGAACTGTTTGCAGCTCTATCATATTTTATCACTTAATTCTTGTGTCACACTTAACTCCTCCATACAGAGAAGTAACAAACGTTGGAACAAACCTTGAAATCAGGCTATTGACCTCTTCAAAAGACATTTTCCATCAACCATAGCATTACTAGCACTCTCTATAGAATTTCTAATACAATGCTCATTTGAGAACATAGAAAAGTGACTCAGCAGGAGTAACAAGACTACAACCTGTCAAATTTTCTATTAATAGAATTTCTCTGTAAAAGGAACTGAAAAACCYGGAACTGTTTCTGCACTGAAAGCAAAAAAAAAAATCTGCTGCTCTAGCACAATGCTATCTGTTGGTTTGTATGGCATAGAAATCTTGGGGGACAAGATCAGAAGTATCTTAAGAAGTCTTGACTGCTTCATATTGATGCAAAATCTCTCCAGACTGAAGAGAGAATCACTACACTGCTAGAAAGCTTTCATGTATGGTCAGTGTCAACCACTATTTCACAAAAAAGAAAAGAAAAATGGAAGAGGAAGAGACCACTTACATTGACAAGGGCACTTACAGTTCCCAGTAGAAAGGACTTAGAGACTCAAAATACTAGCTCTAGACAGAAACCTCAAAAGCATTTCTGCAATTCTACAAGGACAAGAGCACCTCCTTGACTGTGGGAAGAAAGATGAACTTCAAAATCTTATTTACTTGTCTTGTAGTTGCACTCTGTGTCCCCAGTTCAAGGATTTCACATAATTCTGAACAGCTTGTGCCATCACAGACCTGTCACAAAACAAGACATTGAACATGAAGTCATCATGTTATAAATTCAGACTATGCAACCCAAAGATACAGGCAATTACTAAAAATTAGGAATTATCTACAGTATTTTTTGTTGCAAAAGCAAATTATCAAGTCCAAATCAACATAATTTTTGCCCTGAGAAACCAGTAACTAGTTTTGTTTTTCAAACAAGTACCAGGCTAAAATTTCACATGCAAAATTCAGTTCCCTAACTGTCCCTAAATAAATACCAGCTGGGAAAAGGTTATTGTTATGCATTTGCAGCACATAGGAGGGGAGATGGGCAACAGACTTTACCAGGTATGATGAACAGGTTGGGATATATTCCAGCCATAGTGTTGAGCATCTTTAAGGGCACTCCCTAAAAGGGCTGCTTGATGCATAAGCTTTTTAGGAATGCAGCCAACATTCACACAAGTTCCACCAAGTCCCCATGCGGTTCCTTGGGAAAAAAAAAAAGAACGAAAGAAAAAGAAGTAAATGCATCTGATTAGAGTAACTTAATGCAATTGGGTTCATGGTAGTTAAAAAGTTCTGAAATAACACACAGCTTACCATCTCCTACAGATCAGTTTCTAATTCTGTTTGTGCTGATTTGCTTTGATAAAAACCATCTCTACATACTTTTCTTCTAAAATTCAAAACATCTCAAGTTGTTTCTCAAAGCTCAGAAGATCCAGTTACTAAACATTCACTTTTGCAAAATCTTATTTTATATGTTGCACATGAGGAGCCCCAATATGGCATAATCCCTAATTTTTAGAAATGGTAAATAGCATTTTTACAGAGGGAATATTCTCACCTATTTAAGTCCAAAGTCTACAATAAATGCTAGCATCAGACACTATTTAATGTGCAGGGCAGCAGGCAGACCTGGTTTGTCCTGGAGAAAACCAGAAGTACCAGCTGGGCTTAAGGACTTCTATTCCAAGCAAAGCAGGCAGTGTGGCTTTAGACACGTTGCTGTCTGGAGCAACCTGCTCACCTGAGCAACCAAATTATCTGCATTTCCAATTATTGCCTTAGTATTTCTCTTCCATACCTTGTGGGGAAGGTTCAACATAATCCAAAACAGCCACTTTTCTTCCAAACTGAGCAGCTTTAAACAAAGAGGCAAGGTAAAATATTTAGAGGAAGGAGAAACACACAAACATAAACATTTTTTAGTAGCATGGATACAGGTAAAACACAGGAGATGACAGCTGGTGGGTGTTTTCTGTCTGACTCAAGATACCAGACCAGAGACCCAATCTGCCTGTGTAGTCAGCAAATTCTCTGGAAGACACTTATAACCCAGACTGGAGTCTCCAGCTCCACTGACCTTAAAAATGCAATTTSACCCCAAATGAGCTGTTTAAGAAAACTGTGGGTTGTTGGACACGTTACCCTGAGATACAAAGGGACAAGGTTCTCTGCAGCAGTTAAACAGTTCTTAGAAACAGTCTGAATTGCTGTTTTAACACGTAAATGAGAAATGGTAYTAAGAAAAATACCGTATCTATGGAGGTACTCTGAATACTTTTACAACAGTGAAATGAAAGCTTATGCATTTATCCTATAAAGAAGTATTTTTTCTAAAAGGTTAAGAGGAAAGCCAAACAAAGATCACACCACCTGACACCGCCTGATTCACCACTGTGAATTAATTTGGAGGTTAACTGTATGGAGCTGAATTAATGATTAATGTGCAGGTACTGGAGTATACAATGCTTCTTAGAAAGCTTTAGGATTACCAGTAACGCTTCCCTTAGTTTCCTTAAACCCCACTGAAGCTAACCCAAAATTTCTGTTATTTATGCATACAAACCTTCTTTTGCACAAGCAAGGCCTCCAGACCCTCCACCAATGACCAGAAGATCATACTCATTCTTTCCTGTGTAGAGGACGTGAAAAAAGAAAGAGAAGCAGACAAGGAAGATGGGAGAGGTATGTAAGAAGGACAGTATCAGAATACACCTGTTTTTACAACTGATTGTTGTTGATTTGGGTTTTCTTTACTTAACTATTGCACTGTGTTTTCTTCATTAAACCGTCTAGTCTGGTTTTGTGAATGAAATACAGAAAATAAAGCAATTCAAACTAAGTGAGAAAATAGATTAGATTTTCACACAATCTCCCAATAAGCTCTTTCTGCATAAATTATGCAAGTGAGATCCTGAACAGGTCTCTCCATTACAGCGGCAAGTTCTGCACAGATATTTTCCCCGAGGGCCCCTTATGGGACTCAAAGCTTTATGCGCCRTGTGTGCCAAGCAGGGGCGTGGGGTGCGGTCAGAGGAAAGCTGGCCCCTGCTGCCACCCTGGCCTCGGCACAGACCAGCCCCGCTCCCGGCGCGCTGCGAGGCGAGGCGAGGCGGCGRGAGCAGCCGCAGGTGAGCCTTGACTCCTTTTAGTGAGGGCACAGGGTCGCTGCTGCTTTCAGAGCCGTCACAGGCAGGGCGGGCACCGAGCCAAGGCAGCAGCCGACCCCGGCCGGGAGGGCTTCCCCCGGCAGCCCAGAGAGGGCTGGGAGGGCCGCTCCCCTTTGCGCTTATTCTGGAGGAAAGGTTTGGCTGCTTCAGGGGCAGCCCCGGGCCCTCTGCAGAGCCCTCATGCTGCTGCACAGTTCCCCGAGCTCCCTCAGCACCCAGGGGCCGAGGGACGAGCTCCCACAGGAGCACCGGCCGCGGTGGTGGCTCCCAGAGCCGTCACGGATGGAGGCGGCCGTCGCCCGCCCCGCCTCGGCCGCTGAGGGGGAGAGCGGGGAGACGGCCCGGTCCCCACAGCAGCCGCTCGAGTTCGGCGTCGCGGACGGTGGGAAAGGCTTGGAGGACTTTCCCCGGTGGTTTGGGGCGCGGACAGCCGCTTTCCGCGGGGAGCAGCGAAAGGGCGGCCGCTGCCGGGCCCGAGCCCCGCGGGCACCGCGTACCTGAGAACGCTCGGAGCGTACGGCACAGCCCTGACAGTGCCGGGGGACGCGCCCGCCTCCACAGCGCCGCCATGCTGTACGGCACAGGGCCCCGCGCCCGCAAGGACCCTGCGGGGTGACCGTTCAGTGCCTGAGCGCAGCGCGGCGGCGCCGTGTGGGGATCCCGCGCGGGAACCGCCTGAGGGGAGCGCGCGGCCCGGAGCCCTCACGGGGCTGGAGGAGGTGGGCACAGCTTCTGGCGCTGGTAAATCACACACACCAGCACAGAATCAAAACATAGAATCTTTAGGGTTGGGAGTGACTTGTGGAGATCACCCATTCCAAAACCCCKTATAAAGCAGGGGTTTGAAATATCATTCCAAATTCCTGAAGCAGGTGGAATGAAATGTCTCCAGAGAGGAAGATTACACGACTTCTCGGGGCAGGTGTTACACTGCTCTGCTATCCCCAACATAAAGTTCTTCCTCATGCTGAGGTAAAGACTTGTGCGTTTTAGTGTATGGCCATTGCTCCTTATTGTCTCATAGGCATTAATGAGATTCCCATTCAGTCTTCAGGCTAAACAGGCTCAGCCTCYCCTCATATGAGATGCTCYAGACCCYTCATCATCTTCCTGGCCTCTGCTGGACCTTCTTCAATAGCTCCTTGTCTTTGTTCTACTGGGGAGCCCAGAACCAGACACAGTATTCCAGTTGTGGGCTCCTCARTTAAAATTTGCGTTAAAAATTTGGAAGGAAACAAAAACCTCACCGTTTTCTTGACTGGCTTCTCCCCAGATCCTGCTGTAGAAGGGGTTTGGGAAAGGCTTTTGGGAAAGATGAGAATCGTGACACACATGGTTGGGCTGTGSTGGGACAGATACATGCTCGGGGCAGCCTGTCAGAGCATCTCCAATGCCAATGCTCCAGCAGCATTCCCTATCTCTGTGACATTTCAGCTATTGATTAAACAAGGGCGACGCTGCTGACCTACCGCAGATGGGAGCTGAGAGAGTTATTAATGCCTGTGATGTATTCTGACAGCCCGAGATAAAAGGCCTCAAGGCTGGCATTGATTAAAACAAGTCAAGRGAACAAGTTCTTCCTTGTTCAGAGGTGCTGGCTCTTGGCCTTTACTGAAGCTCAGTGCTCGTCCTGCCTGCTGCTGTATGGAGTGGGTCATACGTGTTAAATACCACCACCACCGAACCAGAGTTCGGGACAAGAGAATCAGATGCTTTTTCTACAGAAAAAGGGTTTTAGTCAGTCGTGGTTCAGGCTCTGGAGCAGGAGCCCGGCTCACAAGGGGGCAGCATCCAACCATTTTGTTCCAGAAAACATCAATCCCGCATCTGAGGAGAAATGGCAGGAAATTAAAATACTCCAAAGAAAGTTTTGTAGGACTGTTCACTTCTACCGTAGTCTCGTTTTTTTTGTTTTTTTTTCTCACCCTAATAATGTCTGAAAATACATGTAACAGGAATTACCATCACTTTATTAAGTGGATTGATGCCTCTTTTCCAGCATTGTTGCTGTTAAAAAAACCYCAACAAAACCACAAAAAAACCAAAGGCAAACCCCTCTCTGTTACCTCCTGCAGCACCAATCAATAAATCACTAGAAATACTGTTACCCACTGCAACCTCAGTAGAAAGACATGACTAGAGTATACTGAGAGGCCTTTGAATTAAAGAAAGCTTGAGCATGTTCAGATACAATCTTTTATGCTTTTCAGGTATATGCAYACAAATTTGTTTCAGTTTAGCCACTTTTCTGAGCTGAATTAGGCAATGTTGAGCATATGMTCTTCATACAGATTTAGTTCAGACACGTAGGATCAAGGGTAGAATTAAGTCTCCCCAAAACAGGTTTATATGAGATGTCCCTGCAGCATTATGGTGTTTTGCTAATAAGGAAAGGCCTTTAATGTGGCAAAGCAAAATTAAAACAAATTGAAACAAATARAAGGAAGGTGGGGTCAGTTTCTTCTGCTGTGCCTCAAGTGAAAGGATGAGAGGAAGGKGCCTTAAACCACCAAGAGAGGTTCAGATTAGATATTACAAAATACAGCTGGTGCCACTGTCTGACTAGGTTAAGCTGGAGTCCCCAGTGCTCTGATTGTATCCCACAGCTCGTGATAAAGCACGGTGCAGTTCCTCAGGCTTTCCCATCAGCATCGCCAACTTCAGAAGAAACTCCAAAGTCTGTGCTGTGCCATTGCATTTGTTCTTGCTCATTCTATCAGGCTTGATCCTTGAGAATGATAGAGACAAATAGTAGCAGTGAGGAGTGGGTTGTGCTTATGGTGATAGTATCAGTGAGAACAACAGCCCCTGGTATTTCCTGCCATCAGCACTGAGCAGGTGTGTCTCTGCTGCACTTCCAAAATCTTTCTCAGGGAACAGAGACAGATTCTGGTTATCAGATGAGGTTTCTGCTGTATCTCTGGCTCAGCTCATAGAGCTTTCYACTCTTATTTTAATTATTTTGGGGTTGGCATTATGTTGATTAGATAATTAATGTTCCCCCTTTTTTACATATATATTATATATCTTAATTTAAGAAAACAAGTCCTTTAGCAGCAAATACATTCCAGTATCAGGAAGCATTTAGATGAAGCCTTGTGTTTCTGCAGMGAAAGCATATACTTCCAAAACTGAGATTAAACAAACTTCTTCCAAGATGGCTATCAGACTTAATATCATATTTCCACAGAATTTTGACAGTTGTAGCTAGTAATATTTAAAGTCATAAATTAACTTATACACTAGATGTGGTTTGGTTTATTTCCGGGGGAGATGTTTATTCAATGTACTTTAAAGTGTGGTATTAAAAAGGTAAAGGAAACATGCAGTTTTAGAAATGYATATAAATCTATTTGACAAAAAAGGGTGCATTGTAAGTCATGAATTGGTTTTGTTGGCAGGAAAATTTTKTCCTTTTGAGTTTATTGTAAAGACAGTTTGCAAGTCTGTATGTTTTTTCTTTTGTATGAAATATATTTTATTAAATTTATCAAAGACTTATTTAAATTCTTCCTCGTGAAGATGACCAGGACCAAATACTTTTTCTACCAAACCTTTCAGAAATTTTGACTTTTTAAGCACGTCTTCTTGTCTTTCCTGTTTTTCTGGCATAATTTCCTTTATGTCTTACATTCCTAGATCAGCAACCTGGCAGGGTGAGGGGGAAGAAGAGAGGTGTCAGGTAGATACAGTCTTGGAAGTCATCACTGTGTTTCCTTTTTCGTGGGTGGGGTGGGAAATCAATTCTGTCAGAAGTTGCATTTTGTGGCTGTGACCTAATGAATAATTTATAGAAGTGTCAGTATCGGGTCACTGGTTGAACTAAGTTGTCTTTGCATGAGGTAGGACTTTTTGGTTTCTTACTATCTCTTGTGATTGATTGCACTCTCTTTGAAAGATTATTTAATAATTATTTTCAGRAATTTGTCTTAGAGTACAACTCATTCAGAATTTCATCTATGCCTTTTTATTCCTTCCTTCCTTAAGATAGATCTTCTGTTCATAGTTTATTCTGAACAAATAGTTGATCGCAAGTAAGGGAAAAACCCAGCAGAAACAGATGAAGCTTTAAGTAACACAAGTTCTTGACTTTATTCAAATGGTTTGGCACATATTGCCAAAAAAATGAGGGGAGAAAAGAGAGAGAAATGTGGTAGACAGACTGAACTGCTTCAAAATTATTGTGAGGTGTTATAAAGTCTTTGAAAGCTGAAAGGTTTTTTTCAATCTGCCTGATAACTTTTTAAGATACACAGTAAACACAAGATAGTCTAACTGCTTGAATTATCTGTTCAAATTTAGAGTACAACTTTGCTGGTCACCTTTCTTTTTTAGCTGTTTCCTATTTTACATATCGCCAGGCAGTTTCCTGATTCAGAMATGAGTGCGGCTTCCTTTCTCAAAATTCCTCTTTTGCGTGTTTCTCAGCAAGAGAGACTAATTTGACTGTGGAAAACAGCAAATTCACATAAAAGGAAATCCCTCCTGCTATTCTGAAAATGCAAGCTCAAAAGAATTTTCTTCCACTCAGTGTTTCACATGATCTGTGGGGTTTATGATAATGTGCTAGCTCTCCTGTCTCCCTTTGTCTAGGCTTTTAAAAACCAGTCTTTGTCCAGGATTATTAGAAGAAGAGAATGCCATTTGTTGTTATGCCAGGCATGGATTTAGAGGGAAAAGCTCTAGCTCCGTGCTATGCACAGCAAGTGGGAATAGCCCCACCACGCTGCATCATGTGATTGCAGCTGGGAGCCCTGGCCATGAGCAAGTCTGCTCAAGTTTGTGCAGCCAGATCAGAGCTAAAGTGGCGACTGTCAGGGTGAGTCAGCYTGAACCAGCCAGTTATCCTGAGCTGCTGCCATTCATGTGATGTTGCTCCCAGGCTAGTGCGACCTGGTTATACATCTTCCCATGGATGTGCCCTGTGAATCCAGTACCCAATATTATGAAATACCAAACTCATCTTTTAAGATCTCACCCCTACATAAAAACGATTGTATTACACCAATACATGTGTAGCTCTCCACAGTTCTCTGACCTGGATGTATTAATACCAGCACAGAGTTTTACTGTCTAGACAAGGATAAGTTGTATGAATCGTATATAAATTTATGCACTGTGGTGTTTGTAGCCTTAGTACATTAGTAAGACCTTGCAAAATATCCATACTTACCTAGACTTTGTCTTGAGCTAACAGGTAAATTAAGGAGAGGCACAAACCAATGTCTAAGGAGCTACCAAAGAAACTTCTCTTGGAGAAAGGAATAGCCCATAATAATGTATTACAAGATTTCAATTTTCTATTAACTTTGAAGCAATTTGTGGACATTAGCACACAGATTGGGTAGTTTAACCAACTGAACCTTCAGCTTTGTCTAATTTGCAGTTATTGCCATTCACCATTTTTACTTATGTAATGAAATATGTAGACGACAGCAAGAGTTACTTTCAGGCATAGCTTTTATCACACAAGTAAACAGTTGTGGGCAGGCAGAAGCTAGTTTGCCCCTCCCATACTTCAAGCCTGAAGCATATAATTCAGCTCCAAGTTAGAAGACTTTTAGAAGTGTTGTCATGGGATGTTGCTCAATCTGAGAARTCTTGGCACTAAATGATGCTGCTAAGCAGAAGCTGGGCTGACRCCACCCACAACTAGCTGTAGTTAACTGCAACGACTTCTCCAAAGAGCAGCTCTATACTTACACAAGGTCAGTTCTTGGAGTAAGTTTTACTTTTTTAAATACTTTTAAAAACTATTTTCTCCACAGCCCAGCAATTAAAAAAAATTCTCTGTTAATYTGAATTGTGGGTGGCATCAGGGATCATGCAGATACAACCAGCTTTTGATCAGACAGGCAATTACTGTCCGTGAAGCTGGAGTGCGGTATTGCTAACTTCATTCTTTGTTCTTCTTGATGTCTGGATTATAAGAAAATATTTGTAGAGCTAAAGCTGTATTATATGTGGAAAGGATAGTTCAAAGTTATTCTGTATTGACCTTGGGGACTTGCTGCATTGCAGGGTCTTGGTTATGTTTTGTTTAGAGCTACTAGAAACACTTCAATCTTCACCTACCTATTTTCCCCCCACAATTCTTTATTCAATTAATCTGCTTAAAATTATTTGGTTTTCTCTTGCCATGCCCTCAAGTAGTCCCTAATTCTTTCAAGGACCTCCCCCATCACGTGACAAAGCCTGAAGTTCTCAGAACTTCAGCTTTTGTTTCTGCCACTTTTGGCACAAACACATTMTTTAAGACTTTAAAAAGTTTCTTGGCTAGAGCTTCATTTGCTGACTAGGTCTGAATTTTGCAATGAGAATACAGGARAGAAATATTACCACATTGTGTTTGGTTTTTTTGTTTTTCTTGTTTTCTYCCATGGTGCAATTTAATTGCACCATGGATTATATTGTTCCCACCTCGGAGCAAACAATATAGACAGACATGCTGAGAACAAGGCTTGTTAGAATAAGCCTCTTCCTTTATCTGAGAGCTGCTTGTAGCAGAATATTTTCCCAACTAGCAGCTACAGAAATTCAAATGTACTATTTATAATGTATTGATTGCAGCTCCTCCTGTAGCTGCTATTAAGCCATTTGCTATACATTCCTCCCCTGCCTCCAGCAGCACACTATATTTAACCCACATGCCTAGGTCTTGTTCCTACCAATTCTGCTCCGGCTGTAGCATGCCACGTCTGAGCTGAAAAAAGAACTAAATCCCTTGGGCCAAATTCATTCCTGAAGTTGCTTGATTGAACACAGTGCATTTACACTGAGCACAGATTTGGCTCATACCTGACTTTGTCAGCATTCACTGTGCTGTAACTAAGTAACAAGAGCACTGTCGTTAGGGGACAGATGAATAGCTTTCTCTACGGTTATTAGAGCACCGAGCACCTTTAAGGAGTGCAGAATCTGTGAAAGGAGGAGTTGGGGAAAAGGACACCGCTCCTTTTAGAGTCTGTGTAACAGAACTGATAAGCTATTCCTGTGATGTGATCGAATGTGACTGAATACTGCAGGCTCTTGGACTCTTATTCTGTAAAATCCACAGGAGAGCAGCACAGGAAAAGATCGGAGGAAACAGCTTCTGCTGTACTAAGAAAGGTACATATTTATATTTTCTTATTTCTCAGGCTTGACATGGTTTGTTATCTTAGATAATGTCACTATTTTAAACAGTGGTGCATRTGAAAGAAGTGGTGTTTTCCACATTCTGACTGGCACTCATTGTCAGGAAGCCAGTCCGTGGGCAGCAACAGCTTTCACAGAGAAAGAGTAGGACATATTTGTGTGTAACGTATTTGTACCGTATTGTAAATCTTGACAGCTGAAAGAAGTGAGATGAGATAACCCTGACTAAATTGAAAATGTAATTTATGGCTATAAGTATGCTGGAATTTTTTATTCATTTCTATTCAAGCAAAAGCTGAATGCAAGTCAAGCTTCAGTTCAGTCACATTTGACTGAATAGTTGCTTTCATCAATGTTTTGCTGCAGATGTATTTTATGGAGGTTTTTATTCTCAAGAGGGAGTTCTCCTACTGCAAAATATCTCTGAAGAGGAGACAAAAAGCTAGTACTTTTGCTTGTTAACCCTGCTGGTGCTTATAGAGTATCCTTCTCATGCCCATAATGGATACTATTTACCTTCTGTCCTTTAAAAACAAACTCATATTTACCAATACTGTCAACCACGTCATACTGATGAACTCTGTAAACAACTTTAAACARCCTTTACTTTGTCTCTGTACTTAAACTTACTTTTTCTGCTTACTCAGTCATGGACTTCTCGAACAAAGCCCTCAGGTTCAGAACCACATGCATTTGCACAGCTTTGCAGTATTGAAATGCAGAAGAAAAATGTCCTGATTTACAGCTTTAGTTTAAATTAATGAGGAAAGAGTTTGACCACAGTAACACTGCAAGCAACTTACTTGCCACTCAAGTTAAGCAGTATTTCATAGCAGCCTGGTACCCGGGTTATTTCTGCCGGTCTCATACTCTGTCTTTCAGCATTCCTTCAGGATCACAGGAATTAGAAATGACTGGGAATTTTTTGAAAAAACATCATTTTGGCAGCAGTCCTTGAAAACAGATCTTAATGTGAGGCCATGCTAAAGCTTTCTCAGAAAGCAATTTGTAGCCAAAGAGATCCTCTATGCCCACTCCAGGCACTTTTCTGGGGAGAACATTCACTMAGGATTTAAAACAATCCCTCGCCTGTTCTGTCTCRGGCTGCCTCTTCCCACTCAGTGTTTGGTTACCTGCTGTGCTGTGGTGGGTCCCACCTTGCCTGSAGGGTTAGAGTTGTTCATTTCCATAGAAATAAGTCATCATGTCAGCAGAGATTTTCTTCCTAATTTTTCAGATCCCTCAGTGGGTGTCTTCACTACTTCAATTGTGCACTCCCCCCAGCCAGAAGAGCAGCTTGCGGACAGCAGAAAGCTGTGCTGGGAGAGAGACAGATTTACAGTAGATTAGCTGGTAGCTTTGGAAGCAGGGCAAGAGCATGCAGTGGGGATTTGGGACACTAAGGATTCAGCCCTTAACACTAAGGATATGACCCTGGGATATAAAGAAGAGGCTGGGAAATAGGTCTGTCCTGAGGATAATTAGCCATTTTGGGCTTTCTTCTTCCAGCCCTTTCTACCTTCCTCCATTTAGGGCAAAATCATTCAGTAAGAGCTTGATTTTGCCCCCTGGGGAACATGAAAATCTCAGCTTAGAAAACTTCACACAGACCAGCTCCTAGTGTGCTGTCAGGGCAGAGTACTTTCTACTTTTGTCAATCCACTGCCTSCCAGGTGGGATTTGTACAGTTCTCCTTAGCCACCCTAACCACTGGTCTTGAACACTGGTACAAATAGTACAAATACATCTGGAGTGCTCCAGTACGAATAAAGACTGTCAGAAACAAATATTTCCTAGGGGTACCTGAAAGACTCTTAATTCATGAAAAACTGTCTGCTCAAGGCCCAGTAAATCATTTCTTCTCCCTGAAGGWTCCTCTCACCCCAAACCCTGGCTTTAATCATGCAGTGTGTCAAGTGGGTCAGTTTGCATCAGATTGCTACAAATTCCTATGCACCTGCTTGTTGGATGGAGATGAGGCCTCTCTGTCTGGCCAGTTCATTCTAAACACTGCAGATCWTTATGGGGCACATAACCATTATATAAACCTTTTGCTTTGGGTAACAGCAGCAAATAACATCTAGAGAATGGCTACTGTAAAGGGAGTTTTAAGTGGGTAGCAATTATCCTAATTGAAATCTGTGAGGGGAGAATGAATTTAAACACCCTTATGAAGCTTATTTGATGAGGCTCCCAAGTAGGCAATAGGCACTTTTTTGGTTTTTTTTTCCTTTCATTCAATAAGAAACTTCTATTTGTTTCCTTTCAACCTGAGGAGAGGGAAAAAGACAAGACAAAAGGCCATGGAGGCAGAAAATAATCATCCAAACTTTGCATTTATAAAAGACAGAATTTTTTTGTAGTCATGGTAGTGAAGCTAAATTATAGTAATTTGGAAAAAAAATGAGAAGAAAATCGAGATTTCAGGCAAGAAATAGTGAAAAATCACGTAAAGTATGTTCAGATTGTTTTCATGATGTCAGTGGAAAATCTGAATGTCAAACTCCCTGACTAAGTTTCTATTGAAATACAAGCTATTCACATTTGGCAATATGCTGATTATTCTTCCCAGAACAGTTGCACTCACTTGAAAATACATAAACAGTAACAAAAGAATAGGAGGTAAAACGTTTTTTTTTTTTTAACCTTTAAAAGTACTAAATTATGAAGTTGTTGAATTGTGTTGCCTGCAGCAACAGGACACAATATGTTTGGCAGAAGTTAGTGTAGACTTTCTGACCAAAATACTTTGCCTTTCATGCTCTGGGAAAACATCAAGAAAAACAAAATACCACAAAAGAGAGATTGCCTCATTCCAGACAGCATAGCASTAAGAATCAGAATTCCAGTCTCAGCACAGCACAGATCGCCTCTGGCCTAGTGCAAACATTGTTAAAATATATGTGGAAATATATGAATGTTCTGCATTGTTTTCACAATGCTTCATAAACAGCTAATATATCCTTACAAGGGTAAGGATATATTAGTTAGTAAGCTAACATATCCTCTGCATACTTAGTGCATCAGTATCTAAAGGCGTAATTTCAGCAGAAGCTGAAWGATGTTGAATGATAGAAACTTATCAAGCACTCCAGGTTATGTGATTTAATAAAGTCAAAGTTAGATTCTAAACCCTTTAGCAGCAGAATGCTAAAGTACTGTCTGGATGTGTGGAGACTCCTAATAAACAACCAAYCAGTACTTGGCAGTTAGATTAAATGCATGAAAAATTATAGCAAGGCTGGACGTACCATCACCTTTCCTCAAAGGCCTGAATTGTCAGCAGGCTGAAAGCACTTAAGGAAACATTTGAAGCACTGCTYGTCTCCACATTTTCCCAGTTGTTCATAAACTCAAGAATAATAATGTCACATAGGCATTTGCTATCTTGGTATCCTAAAATCATGTCCTTTGGTTAATACAGACAAAACACTTTGCCTTTCCTCAGGTGATACCCATATATTCTTAGCAGGAACTTTGCTGAAAAAGATCAATTCAGCTTTACAGTGCCTTGAAAGTTTACAGACGTAGCAGTAACTTTAACTCTTGTGGCAGCACAGGTGAAGGTAGTACAGGTCATCAAGGCCAGATCAGGTAAACATTTGCCAAAATGAGACTCAAAGTCCCCTGGCTCAGGGCCACAAAGTTTACTCTCATTTTGGCCCTGGAGAATAGCAGTCTAATGTATGTGCTATAGAAAAAGGTGGTTTTTTGGTGATAATGTTTAGGACTTAATTTTTAGTACAAAGCAAAGGAATATYAGTTTATGCAAGCTGAAACTGAAATAAGAGACTCTGTAATTAGGCTTAGAAGGATTCACCTTGATTAGAAAAATGTTCTATCCAGCAGTTTTCCACTCACAAATATTTTACTGTCATGTCTTACTTTTGCATCTGTAGGAAATGATGTCTTGTTAATTACTCATAATGTAGTGAATGAAGCTTCAGAATGGTTAAATAGTCAAATTTGATACTTCTTTAATCCATTGAGTCTGAGTCTCACTAAGGTGTATGTTCTTAAGAGCATTTAAATGTGCTTACTTTCACATACATATTTTTCTTCTCAGTAAACATCAGTTTTTAGCAGAGGGGGTTTGGTCTGGAATCAAAGAGAAAAAGTTGCAATCAGGATTTTAAATCACATTTCCATACACCTTCCTCTAACAATGTTATAAAACTTTCTACAGTTTTTATGAAACACTGTAAAAGATTTCAGTTCAATCAGGTTACTTGGACTTACCTTGAAAATTGATATTACCAATTGTTCTAATCCTTATTTTTTCACTTCAGGGAATTTTAAGAGCAATTATTTTCTGCATAGGTTGGAAATATGTACCAGAAGGACTGATAAATAGCAATACTGAAATATTCTTTTTGTAACCTTTGGTGAAATGACTGGAGTCACTTGCATGAGATTAAAGAACAGGATGTATTTTGGTCTCCACCACATGGGCATTTTTATTTTAGAAAAACTGAAGATCATATAATATTAATAGAATACTGAATCTCCTAACAACTTAACAATCTCTTAACAACTGTTGACATAATATCAGATCCCTAAGTCTGAGCCAGTCTCTTGAAGTTTTTTTAAAACTATTGGAATGCCTTAGGTTTTTAATCTCCACAGGMAGGTAAGTTGGGGCAGCAGATTCCCACATTTTGTGTCTGCTTCTCTTCTTGAAAGTGTCTTTTTAAATCTCTGTAAACTGACACAGAGGTACTCGGATTCAAATGCTGATTGTTTCATTATGTTTTGCATCAGGGGAAAACTGCTGAACTGCATTATCAAGTTATGATTTGGTCTTATGAAACCTGCCAAAATGAGTAAGATTAGATGCATAAGAAAATAACTCAGTGCTCTAGAAAGACTCATCAGTAGTTTGACAGGTTTGGGCATGAAATTTTAATATGTTTTCTTTTAAACTCTGTCTTCTCAAAAACAGATGTACTGATACATGTTATTCATTCCTTCCCATAATGTTGTCCCTCCAGTTTTCTGTTTATTCCCTTGCTGAATTTTTCATTGCCTACTATTTTCCACTTCAAATTTTACTTTTCAAAGAGAAGGCTCACTTTACTATGGTGTTTCTAAAGCACAGAGGAGGTTGCAGTGCTAACCTGTGTATTTGGAGCCTCAGTACAAGCATTAAGTAATAAGAGTAGCTGCCTTGTAATAAGTGGTTAYGGGAAACTTGACTGTGTGCAAGTTCAGTTTTATTGCATACTTAATGAATCTCATGAATCCACATTAAAGTTAAAATTACTGTTGCATTTTCTAAAGCTGTCATAACATGACTGTCTCCTAGGTAGTGGTAGTTTTAAATTGGTTGAATTACACACTTAATTTTCATATCAAATATTTTCCAGCTAAGAATATGAAAGCAATTACCTATTTTGGTACAGATATTTTTCCCTCTGGGTGCATGACCATCACCAATGCCTCTTGCTCTTGGCAGACTGCCTGTACAGTCTACTGCTGTCACTAAATTTATTTTCACACCTAAGAAGACAGAAATTAAGAGGGACAAACTTTGAAAAAGCCCGTGTTTAAAAAAAAAAAAAGAAAAGAAAAGAAAACCAAGATGTGTCCATTTCTCTCTTTTTAGAAGGTACCGTCTCTGGAAAGTGGTTTTCAGGATAATTGCCTCCTGAAGGAGATCTGCTAAGAACAACCCATACTGTCAGTTTATGAAGGCATTGGGGTGTTATACAGATGCATTCTTCATAATAATAATAATAATAAAACCCCCCAGTAGCTAAATACATTCCTTGATACATCAAAAATAAGTGAATTCATCTAGGAATGGAAAAATCAGCACATACTCTGTACTTTGTTTCTACCTGTGAGCAACCTCTGTGGAGGCAGGTAGGCTTTGCTTTTATGTATGGTACCTCATGTGTGGTACTATTCATGTAGGATTCAAGTTCAAATATCTGAGGCACTGAAAAAAGTGGATCCCTCTGAGTATTTCATTCAGACAGTCAGTCTGACAAAGAAGTCTCAGCATTCCTGCAGGACAGGGAGTGGGGCTGTGTTAGCCTACAGAGCCTGTCCCTGTTTTGAGAAATYTCATTAAATGGGAGGATGAAACACAGCACTTAATTCATCCTGCTGCTCTCATCCATCCTTGCTGTCCAACAGACCTTTGAAGGGCAGCCCCAAACATGCTGGCAGGATCTCATAGRGCAGAAGCAACAGCCTGTGGCAAGGTCTACTCAGAGAATGCCAAAGTATCCACTGTAACCAGAGAATTATGTCTGGCAGTAGTCTGAAGTAATTCTGAATGCCAGCAGTTCAGTTCTAGAGACCTGACTGTGGTTGGACTGCCACCAAGTAAGTCATGGGTATGAAGGGTYACAGCTTTCCCATATCCAGAGGCAGGAAGGTTAAAAACCTCAGGAAGTGTTTTCTGGGCTCCATCCATTCATTGCAGTTCCGAATAATTATCTCTCACCCRTGTCAGTATCCAAATCTGTCAAAAAAGACTATGCAACCAAGTAAACCATGAACATTAGGTAAAGACAAGCAAGTGAAGCTAGAAAGATATTTTATGCTAAACTAATGATACTTTCACAGCCCTATCAAAATTTTCAGTAGACAGGTAACATCAAACATTTTCATGTAGGAAAACTAAAAAGAGCTGCAGTCCCATGTGAAAGGTGCAGGAYAATTGGGCCTGGTCACTAGAATTACTGCTGCATGGAAGGAAAGAAGAAAAACTGATGTCCAGGCCTTCATGATCCTATCAAAGTAATGAAGCATGTTCGTATTAGCTAGGAAAAAATACTCAGAAGGTGCAAGAAGCAAGATTTTCATGTGCTAATGATGCTGGCAGGGTCTGAAAGGAAATGTCTCAGGTCAGACTTTGCAAGGAAAGCATTAAAGGTAACTATTAACATCGGTGACTGCTTAAAAGCAAAAGAAATAGACTTTTGACAGCTCCAAACAAATCATACTTGCTCTGCAACCAAGATAAGAGGATGGGTGAACAAAATCAGCTGTACTGTATCTTGAGCATATCTCCATGGAAACTCAGTCATCTTCTGAAGTCAAAATGTGTTCTGCATGATGATTCAAAATTTAAATAGTGTGATAGATTTTCTCCATGTGTATGTGCCAAGTCCCACTACTGAATGGAGGTCAGACTACCCATAAAAATTAGGATTTTCCTGGGACAGTTTTTGGGGAAACAAAAAAAGAGAAGCAAGAACAAGTAGGAAGAGATTTTGGGGGAATGTTTCCTACAATTAGATAATCCCTTTGCCGCTGGTCTTGGGGAATTTAGGCAAAAATTTTGAGGATGTTGTAGCTCCAATTGGAGCTAGAACACATTTCATGCTGGAAGCTCCTTGTGCAGTGGCATGCTTGGTCTGAGCAGCTCTGTGGGGGGAGGGACTAGRGCATTAAATAAAGCTACTTGTTGACTGCCTGTAAAATTGGCTTCTAGAGGAAGTGCCAAAGAGCACCATCCATTACCAAGTGACAGAGAGCCTTTTACAGCTACTCTAGACACAATCATAATTAAACTCTGTGTGTTCCTGTTCAGTATGGTTGGTTATGGTTTATTCAGCTCAATATTTACAAAAAGGACAGCCCTCTCCTGTGCCACCTTAACCCTGGGCTGTTTTTCTCTTTCTTTCCAGATGCTGGAGAACTCTTCAGTCCCTTTGTTCATTGTCTTCATCCTGCTTTTCATTTTGCTGCTCATTGTGTTGCTCATGAGGAAAAGCGGCACTGCTGCCCTTATCTGGAATGAAATAATCCGGGAGAAAGTAACCAATTTCATCATGAATCAGAGCAAAGAACAGCGGATTTTAAATTTTGTGCTGCAGAATGCAGTCCGAGGAGACCCCTGTAGTGTGATGGACACTATAGATAAGTACTGCTCCCAGAAAGAGTGGGCCATGAACGTGGGCAATGAGAAAGGTAATTGCAGCAGGGATCRGCATCTGAAAGATCCTTCAAGACTAGCTCAGTACAGGACATCTAATTGTATTCACATGGCAACTTCCATCTGCTGCTGCTGCAAAAAAAAACCCAAGCCACACAGCCTTGTGACCAGCAGAGTAGTTCTGTARACAGAGGTGCCTGCTTGTGCAGATGTTTTTGAGGAGGATTATCCAGTGACTCATCTGGAAAGCCACAGRGCCAGAACTGAGTTTCTGTGGTGTRCACATTGCAAGTGTGTAAGCAGAGAGTGACAACTGATGGGAAAAATCTAGAGTTGCATTATACTTCACTTTCTACACAGGGCACCTTTAAGGCATAATTAATTAAGTATCTTCAGATTCTTAATAACAGGATGGTGTATTGGGAAAAAAAAAAACCAAACCCAACAAATTATGTTAAACTATATGAATTTTGTGTATGCAAGCATAAATTAGAAGTTTCATTTGAAGGGAGAAATCCTACCCATCAGACATTGTTGCTATTTAGCAAGTAAATCATCTTGTTCTTGCCTCTTAAAGGACAATATGGGAACAAAAACTTTTTTTTCCATAGCTGCAGGAAACAACAATCTTTTCAAAAAACTATAATGGCAAAATGCTAATATGTTCCCTCATGRATTAAAAACAAAAGTACCTCTTGCTGGGAAATTTCTGGGGAAATTTGCTTAGTCTGGGATTAACGTAGCTAATGAAATACAACTATAAGCATTGTAATAAAAATGCTCTTGTGACATGGGTACAGTTTTTGAAAGTAGCTCCTCAGCATATCTGACTGGGGTGCTTAGGGCAGCAGAACAGTAGGTGATGGCTGGGTAGGAATTGTTAAAGCTCTAAACTTTGAGCATTTGTGAATAAATTCTTAATAATTTCCCTCTAGTTTTGCTCTGATGGCCTTTCCTCAAATAAGAGCCATCAAGGTTAATGCATCTTTAGTCCCTGACATTTCAWGAGTGGCTACATGGCCTCAAGATGCATCGTCACCATCATATTAATAAACAAATAATATCCAGAAAAATAGCACTTGATGAAATGTATATGTATGTTGAAAAATTCCATGGCTTAGTGTAAAATCCCTTCCACTATATTTTCAGTTTAGTTATCTAGTTTCTAGCCATACAAGTAAGAGGAAATAGTTTTTTCACAAATAAATCCTTTTTTTCAAAAGGACTGAGTATGGTACACTGTCACTTCTTTTTGGAAACATTTTCTGTTTTTAACAATTARMTAATGWTTTCCATCYCACAAATTCATGTAGTGAAACYAAATATTTTGCAAATTTGTAAGTAGACTTTTYTTTTTTCCTTTAAAAGATGACTATTTAGGATAAGAAATTTTGTATCGGACTACAGCATGTAACATTTGCAACAAACACCAGAAGTTATATATTTTACAAATACATAACTCCAGTAAGTTTCTGCAATAAGTTCTTAAGAGAAATTACTGCATTTCCCATTCTAACATTATAAATTAGTTAATTCAGGGTATTAAATAAGATATTAAAGGAATTTAAGTTAATTCTGGTATAAGTTCACTCAGAAATGTGTATATTGAAAAACTAAGATTTCTTTTAGTTGAAAGTCTGCATTTTTGAAACTTAAAATGTGATTAACTTGATCACAAATAARCCAGTTTGCAAAGGACACAGTATATAATTTGATGTTAACTCTTAACTTTTAAATATTCTGAGCAACTGAGTACACGGATTTTTCAAGTTTCTTGTCATTAACTTGCTSTTCTATATATAAACCAGTTTGATGRAAAGTTAACTTTTTCCCATTTTAATCAGGTCTGATTCTTGACAAGACAGTTGAAGAGGCCAATCCATCAGTTGCCCTGGAGCTGGGAACATACTGTGGCTACTCAGCAGTGAGGATTTCTCGGCTACTGAAGGCAGGAGCTCGTCTGCTCACTGTGGAGTTCAACCCAGAATTTGCTGCTATAGCTAAACAGATGATTGAGTTTGCTGGAGTACAAGATAAGGTAAATACTATTTTGTCTGTAACCATTACARCAAAACTGGTTAGATTTTGTGTTCTTTTCTTTCCTCCTTGTACCCATGRGCCTTTTAAATTTAACCAGCTCCATGCTTAGTTACAGTGCCTCACAGCAAGACTTCATTACATTACATCCCAAAAGCCAGAATAGTACTCGTTTTCTCTATAAACTAAAAAGTTCAAATTGGTGTCAAGACTACAAAAAACAACCATAGTCCAAAAGCTCACAAGAATCACTTGTATTATGTGCAGTGGACTTCAAATGAGAAGTATTTACCCAAGTTTAGCTGGTGAGAGTACATATACCTAAGTTTTGTGCAGTCAGAGGTGTCTTGACTCTCTATAGCTGGTTGAGATGCAGGTGTTTCCAGTCTGTATCCACCCCCAGGTTGGGGAACTCATGCTGAGAAGTGCCTGTCTGTTCAACAGACAACTCACTTCAGTGGGGCTGGAAACACTGAACATAATAAATCCCACTGAGGGACCTTCYAATGTGTTTGTTAACTTGAAGAGAACCTGAAGTACTAGTGACATCTAAAACTGCACTTTCCCCATCTGTTTAATCTCCTGATCAGCTATGAGTCATAAACCAGACATTTCCTTACCACTTTCTTCCTCCTCTCATGGTGCTTGCCTCACAAAAATCCATGTGCAGCAGCTGCTTTCAGTTTAACAGTAGTTACTCCAATAAACCTTGTGAGGAAGATGTGACAACCTCTGTCCTGCCTCTTCCCTCTCCTGGCCATATCAATTTTACACACTGCAGTTTCCATCTTTATTCTAACCTAACTTGTTTTCTGCATTTTTTGCTTCCATTGGACGGTTTGCAATTCATCACATGGATTTGTATTTCAGGTGAAACTCCTAGAAGGCCCTTCAGAAAAAATTATCCCCCAGCTGAAAAAAAAATACGAAGTAGATACTCTGGATTTCGTCTTCCTGGACCACTGGAAAGACAGATACAGACCGGACACCATCCTGCTTCAGGTCAGTTTGCACAATTCCAGTCTTAAAGCAGCAAATGCCCTGATGTTGGTGAGGCCTCCCTTCTTTATGAGGGACCTCATCTGCCGTAAAAGGAAGACTGGAAGACAAAAGAGCCACCTTTCAAGAAAAGAGGGTTTGAAGGACAGGACCCTAAATATTTGTTAAGGACAACTGCCAACACTACATAGCTCAGGACTCTGAGTACTGTTGAACCGTTCTGTTTCCTGAACATGCAGTGTATAGTAGAAATCCTACCTGGAGSAACACATGGCCTGAGTCTTACACTCCCTAGGAGTGCCTGCATGCTCACCAACCAGAACACTTGACCCAAAACCCATCCTGATCCTGGGAGGTGACTTAGCAYCCATGTATCCCAGTTCCACCTCTAATTTCCTCAGGACCCCTTTTTTTGCCTGGGGCTGTGGTGCCATCAGAGCCTCTTAATGAAATACTGTTTTGGTAGCACAACTGGGTATCACTTTTCTGGGAGTCTCTACACTCCACCTAATTAATTGGCTGTAAACCAATGTTAAGGAGAGGACAGACTGCCTCAGCCAGGCACTTCCTGGGGAAATGCTGTCCACCTCTATGTCCAGCCCCAAACGTAGAAAAATTATGCTATTTCTTCCCAAGCTGCCTTAACCATTACTGTAGGTATTACAAAACAAAGGAATAGACGGTGATAGGCAACGAGCAGAGGACTTCTGGATAAGAAGGTATTTTCAGATGTTAAAWAACTGAGACTGACAACATCTGTACCTATCAGCACATACAGATACTCTCCTAGGTGATAACRTTTTCTACAACTGCCTGTTTGTACAGAATTCGCATTTTTCAATTATTTTCTTCACAAATAAATCCACTTTTTTTGAGCCTGCCTGTTACATTCAGAACCTGGCAAATACTTCCTGACCCCTGCTTGAGGACTACAACACTATTTTCTAATCCAGGCCCCCTGTTTTTYAGTTTTAAGCCCTGTCCTCCAGAAAGCTGTTTGAAAAGGCAATTTGTTTGGGGTTATGAACAGCTGGTATTGAATTTACACAGCAGTAGCTGAAGAAAATGTTCCCTCCCTGCAGTTATTTTGTACTCAGAGAATGCTTTTCTTTTAAACTGCCTGTGTAAGGATGACTGAGCTCTTTCCACTGGGAAGAGCCAGTGCATCCTTATCGGAACTTAGCCTTCACAACACAGCCAAAACAAACAGACAGTTTAGTTCCATGGTGTTGGTCAGTCTGATGCAACTGTGATACAAAGTTGCAAAAAACTCCCATGAAGTTAAAAGGAGAGGACAAAGAGATCCTCAGATTTTCTCAGATGTTACAAACTTTCTAAGATGGACTTTTGGCAGGTATTACAATGTGAAGTGTGAATATGTTTAGATGAAATATATATATATGTAGGAAGTAGTCCAGACAAAAAAGCCAGACACAAAGAGCATCTGAAATCCTGATGACCAGTGGAAAATCCAGTATGTTGTTTCTTGCAGGCTTCTGTAAGCTGTGCAATAGAAACAGACTGGAGGGTATTCTAAAATCACTTCTACTGTGCTCACTGGTGTTCAATCCCCAGAGGGGATTCTGCAGCTTCTGCAGCACACACAACAGAACTGCTCCCAGAGACTGGGAGCAACAAAAAACACCCCATGTTTTGGCTACAGCTACTGCCTGTAACCGCAGGATAACAACCAGTCTGATGTAACTACAGACTTTTGTTTTAAAGCAGCTGGTAAGCTCAGATAAGCAACTTCTCCTTGACAAAATATACTGGTAAAAATTAGGTTTATTGGTTTACTGAGGATAAAGATTGCACTCGACTATTGCAAGCTAATTATGTCTTGTGAAAATTYTGTCAATGATCTTCACTGTGCACAAACATTGCTTCACAGCCAGATCCCRAACAAAATAGCAGGAAGTTTAAGATGAAAAGAAAACAAGCTCAGAAAATCTTTTATTCTTTTAGTGGTTTTGGAGACTGAGACTGGCCAAAGCAKTACATGCTAGTCTCACAGGTGACCTAAAGAGCCATTACAACAGTTCATGTCACATTAAAGTTTTTAAACGTGAGGCATGACAGCCAAAACAAAGGTACCTTACTGATCACATAGACAAAGCYGGAAGCAAGCTGAGGAGCAGCCACACACTCCTACTTGATTTGCTATTTCACTATCAGCATCTCWAATGGTCTACTAATTAACAGAAAAAGTCAGCAATGACCACAACGGATCCGAGAGTTACTCAGCTTTTCCTTTCTCTTCATCCTTCCAGACCTGTACCACARTGGGTTTTTGGATGCAGGCATTTGAGTATGACTTGGGTTACATAAGTCCATTACATTCAAACCAATGTCTGCTTAACAGCCACCTATGAAGCAATTTCTCTTCTTTCTAGGAATGCAACTTGCTGAGGAAGGGCTCAATTCTTCTGGCTGACAATATCATTTTCCCAGGAGCTCCAGATTTCCTTAACTATGTCCGCAAGAGCCCCCACTTCAAATGCACTAACTACCCATCTCATCTGGAATATATGCAAGTGGAAGATGCTATGGAGAAGGCTGTGTTTTTGGGATAGAGAACCATTAATACTCAACTTTTGTTTCAAATTATATAAATGCAACTGCACAGGTTAACTTGTCCATGCTTTAAAGTTTGGGGGTTTTTATCATTATTACTTTTTTATTTTGGAGCCTGTAAGTAAACAAGCGCTAGTGGAGATCTTTTTAGGCGAGGTGGCAACCAAGATCAGGACTAAGTAGAGTCKGTGCCATCATTCCACAGAATTCAGCAAACCCAAGGTGATGTACATTGCCTGGCCTTGACCAACACATCATCAAACAAAGTCTSTTATTTTGAGTTCAAGCTTGAGCAACAGTTTGGGTTTAGTGTGGAGAAATACACTGCAACTTTTGAAGACTTGAGTCCCCGAGCTTAACTCATTAATCATTAGCAAGAGTGGAAAAAACATCCATGTTGCARGAAAAGAACATTCCATGTGCTCTATTTTTGCTAAATTACTAGCATGCCTCTTGATGCAGTGAAGGCCCCTATTGTCACATCAGATACTTCTTTGCACATTTACTGCAAAAGTTAATCATCTCTATGTGAGAGAAAAGGGCATGCACTGAAAGAAAACAGACCCATGCAATGATGAGAAAAACAAAACAGAATTTTGAAAACACGAACAAATAAAATTATTAATCTGTCCATGAAGGAAGGGAAAACTGAATTAGTAAACAGTTTAAAATAARCACAGTAACAAACAGGTAACAAAAGGAGTAGACTCTTTCAAAAAGAATACAACTATGTAATATTTGACCTTGATAAAATGCTGATTATTCCCTCGTTACACTGTATATATGTAGTATATGCTTTTAAGGGGCAGGGGAAGCTGCTTACTCTGAAATGTTGTGTATGTTTAAGATGCTGTATGAAAATAAAGACCAGAGAGAATGGGTTTAGAGGTGGATCCTGCACACCCCGGTTAACCTCGGTGCTGTTACACTATGTGAATAGTGTGCATTGGCATTGAGAAGAGTCAAAGCCAAATACAGTCTCTAACTCACCTGAACAATGCAAAAATCCAGTGGCATTTCCTAGCATGTCCTGCTGTGATTATACAAGGCAGCAACGGTCATATTTATAAATAAAAACCACCCACAATAGAGCAGGGGCATGACTTCCATTGTTTCCAATGAATTCTGTACTGCACTTCAGGCTTCCAGACTTCAAGCAGCCACAGAAAGATACAACAGTTGAAARTCAGAGTGAGAATCAAGGATAATCATTCTTATCTTTCCCAGCATGAATTCTTTCAAGCCTGTTACGAGTTTCTTCCTTTTATAGCCCACCTTACTACAGTGGTCCCTCCCCTGGCCTGTGTGCTGCAGAAAATCCTCCTCCATGACACCAGTAAGGAGCAGAGGATCACCACGCAGTGTACAAGTAAACTAGGCTAAGGTGACAGAGTCCATTTAGAAATGAACMAAGCAAACCATGATGACCCAGCCAGCCTGTAATGTGTGCATTTCACAGGGACAGGAGAAGGCAACACTGTCAGAACTTCTCTACCAAGTTAGACTCTGTCATATTCAGAAAGACAAGATTTCTTGTGCTAGATTAGATTATGCAGAAGCAGCTCCCGGTGACTCCTTTGTACTTTCCTGTGCAGAGCAGACGCTGAGTTCTAACACTTGGATCTTGCACTGTAAGTCAATGATTAGTTCTGTAAYATTACTCAGCAGTCCTCTTGATATTCAGCTCAACTCAAAGTCACTGGACCAAAGTCCTTCAGGTGGTTACAAGCAATTTATGCAAAATGCAATACAAAATAATCTTCAAGCCCATTTACCCAAGTTTCTAGAGCACAGTGGAAAATCTGGATATACACAGCTGACCAGAAAATCTGTACATCTAAAGCCTCARCTCCAAAGAATCCTCTCTTGCATTTAGCCCTGAACACCCCTGCATCTTAGAGACACTCCTATCAGAGCAGGGCATGTCACACAGGCTGATGAGCAAACCGGTCTCAGAAGGATGAGTAGGAGTAAACACCTAATCAATTCTGCAGTTTACAAGAGAGGATCAGAAGAATACATTCCTATTGCTAATGGCCAAAATCACTGTTCAAGAGACTGTCAAGAACATTAGGAAAGGTAGGAACCTGTAGCGTTAGCATGGATATTACAAAAGATACATCAGTGAATCATTATTTGTAACGTATGTGGCAAATAAAACACCCAGCTTTTAGTATAAAAAGGTATTTTAATTCATTAGAAAGCATCTCCTACATGGCAAATTGTAAAAATAATCACAATGTATGTACTACCAGAATGTTTGCRGTATTCCATATGCAAGAAAAATTTTTCCACTTCACTACATTTTTGAAATGCTCCCAATTATTGGTGGCAAGGGATGAAAAGAAAAAGCCTGACTCAGTTTGCATGACTGACAATTAGAAAAAAGGCTTTTGGTCAGTTGAGCAAATATGATCTGAAGTCACTGACACATAAATGTGAAACCTCCCAGGGAGAAGAGGCACTTTTCAAAATAAAGTCACGCTTTGAATTCTGGGAGAAGCAGAGGGCAGACAGTGGATCTTCTAATTCAAACATACTCTAAAAACCTACTGAGTGTTACTGCAACATCAGCCTATTACAGTTAGAAGACACAACCTATTCTTGCAAAAACCAGGTATGGGATTGTGCATGTGGAGAATGTGTCGAGGAGTGCCCATGAGAGTGTAACACTGATAGAAAGGTCCCAAGGGGGTGAACTCCCCTGTAACACCACACAGCTTTCAGCAAATTCYCACAGCTCATGTCACAAATGGATGATCTCACCAAATACTGGTAATTTAYATCTATTCTTCAGATGACAGCTACTATCTAGGTTGTCTTTGTCTTTTGTCTTTGATTCAGGCAATATGTGAAAGTGAGGTCTGATTTCCACCAGAGCCTCTTTGTTACCATCTTTCAAAATATTAAACCAATTCAGTGTAGAAGAAAGGAGGAGGATTTAAGAGGAAGTAAGATCTAGCACTACTCCCTTTTGCATAACAGCACCATGGAAGCAATCCTTTCATCAGAATTTACTCATCTGAGTACAGAGCAGGCATCATATGTTTGTACAGGAGCCACTGCCTCCTCCCACTGGCATGAGGTGAAAAGCAGCTCAATGGAGAATTCTRAGCCATGAGTCAGACACTAAATGCAGTGAACATACAGAAACTCCTATAAGAGCAGCAAAAAGAGAGAGACCACTGAGATCCCAACTCTCCCACCCAAGGTGACACCACCAGAGCAGTGACATGTCCTTCCTCGACTGAGCAGTCRATTAGGAATCAGTTATAAGGTACCTTAAAAATAACAGCTATGATTGCTGTGCCCACACACACATTGAACAGAGTACCAGAGTTTCAGCTGTCTCCACAGTTCAGTTAATGGCCACATTGTAAATCAGCTTCCCATTATTAAAAAGAACCCCATCAACTCATACCACAATAAGATTCTGCCACTGCTGTGCTTCAGAGACCTTCAAAGTAAAACACTGGGGAAGACACCCCTGAGGACAGAATATTTCCCCAAGAAACTGCTGAAACCTGAAACAGATGAGGGTGATATTTCTTGCCCATTGTTACTAGGTTAACCTTTCATCTGCAGGACTCRCAGCTCCCATTTGCCCAACCTGTGATAAGCTGGAAATGGAATCAATTTGACAGCTATAAAAGGTCAGTTGTAAAAACAACATATTTGCTTTAGCTCAGTACCTTACCTACAGCATGTTATTCATTGCCATATTAGTGCATCCACAAAGGGAAAATCAGATTCCTCCCTGCAGCTGAAGAATGATGACACCAAGGTGCAGGATGCTAAGCCCAGGAACCCCTAACTTATCACAGCACTTGTGAAACTGTATCTTCCAGCTGCAAGAACAGATCCAGAGATTGTTTTACAAAACACCTGGGGATGCATTTACGACATGTGAAACAAGGCRGGAAGGTAAGCTGAAGGTGACCTTCCAAGTGCTGTTTGCAAACATTTGCATGTAAATGGAACTYACAGCGCTGTGAATGGTACAATCACAGCACTGAGGAATTCATATATGGCAAACTCTTGTTACTGGCAATGATTGATCAACCTTGCACTCACAGAAAACCTGACCTCCATTCTCTCTCTAAGACTTTGCAGAACATTACGTTGCGATTTATTGGGGTTTGTCAGGCTTCAGGAAGGCATGGTTGGTGGTGAATACGGTGTGTTTTGGTGTGCCAGTCACTGATCTCACCCACACAGATGAGGAAGTCCTCAAAAGAATTAATACCTGTTAGTAACTGGCTGWTACCTTAAATACATGGGTGACTCTTCAGWATCAGGGATTTCTTCCATTCCACAGCACCAAATGTAAATTATTTGGCACAYCCTCTAAGTAAAAATTTCTCATGCCAACCAAACCTCATACATTGCTACAATTTGTTATTCTTACATACGTCTAAGAATACTTGCAAACATTTCAGAAATGTAATGTTACATGGGTTTTCTAACTTAGTTGGGAAAGGTTAGTAACTTCCCAAATGGAAAAGCTATCAGCAAGTACTGGCCCTTCAACAGTGGTGCAGATGTCTTTCCCACGGATATAGCTTGTATATTAAAAAAGGAAAAAAGCCCATGATCTACAGTCCAGGGTCGTGCTACAACTCCAGCATATGGCAATGAGTCAAAAATGTTCAGCTTTACTCGTTTATAGGATATTTCAATTGCCCTCATTACCACTGACCTTTTGCTAACACAGAGCATTGACCTGAGCTAGGGTTGAATAATCCCTTGCCACAGAAAACTGCTGCTGCAAAAGCCAAAGAATATTTGACATACCTGATGTAACAAAAAGATAACCAATGGCACATGTGTTCTTTCCAGGCATGGTTTATTGAAAACACACCAAATTGTTATCCTACATACCTGGTTTCTAACAAGCATTCTACTTGTCTGCATTATGGAAAGATCCTATCGTAATAATAATACATTCTGTCACGGTAACATTTGTTCTATGAAAAGCATAACCCACCTTTTTTTTTCCTCTCCATACTTGTAAAATCAAACCATTCTAAGTGTTTCAGTTTATAGTACAGTGTAAATACAATGCAAAATCCCACCAGTCTAAACTACAGAGAGAATGTTGAGCAGTATTACAGAAAACACATTGTTGATTTTTTTAAATTCTCCTACCATGAAAATTTTAAGGCACATGATAGTTACAAACACATTAGCTACTAATTACCAGTAAGCTTCTTAGTCTAGTTATTTTGCTTTTTCTGAACAATAAGAACCAAATTGGCAGGCCTTGTAGTATCTGCACTATCTTCCTCCTTGCCTTGGACTTCAGATCATCCTACCCTGATGTCAAACTTAAGACAGAAAACAAAGGCTCATAATATCTTCACCTTAAATGCACTAGATTAGTTATTGTACCAGTAAAACAGAGTATTTCTCTGTCAAAGATAAGGAAACACCAAATTTTAGGGGTATCATAACAAAGRAATTTTGCAAGAAACTATGCCTATATAAACACCTTCAAAAACTCCACCCCAACAGCACAAACCTGCTGGCTGAAGGAATTGGCACACTGTAGGTTTCACTGAGCCAGCAGTCGCTCAGCAGATGAGGCCATAACCACTCAAATGTACCCATTTGGCTTCTGATGCTTTGCTTACTTGAGGGTTTGACATGTGCACCTCTCTCACAGGTAGCTGAGCCTATGCTCAGCCTTAAGGCAGGTAACAGAAGGGAACTCAGCACCTTCAGTCTCATGGAACTGCTCTAGGAGTGAAAACTGCTTTGCTTAGCACAARGCTTTGCTGCTAGAAAGCATTAGTGAAACTGCTCCTCAGAGCTGGCACAAACTTAGGAAACTGCTCTAACACACACACCACCTCTGCTTTCTTCATGTGTCACTGACAGCAAGTCAGTTCCTAGTCCCCAGGTCAGTCTCTTTTGGGACAACTTGGCAACAGAGACCAGACTTGCTTCCCTGGTAGAGGTGCATTCAGAACTGGAARGTCTGAGTGTGTGAGAGCAGATCTGGGATAGGCAGCAGTTAAGCCAGAAGACACTGAAYGCTGGGACCTATGGCTGCCCAAGCTGTTCCCTGGGGAGCACTTCAAGCTGACAACATATCTTGAGTTGCATTTATGGCTGTATCGGTACTTGAATCCATGACAGAACCGAAATGTCCTAAAGCCTTGCCTGTTTGCTCTTTTTTGATTCTGCAGACACACTGACTGACCTGGGAAGCCATAAAGTGCAACTGCTCACACACTCAACAGCTAAACTTGATGCTTCTCCAGGGGAGTTGGCATACTATGTTTTTTCAACTTGCACAGCTCAGTGAAAACACTCAGGAGATGTGCAAGTCACCTTCCTAGCAAGGAAGTTTTGCAGTAATCACATGCTGTCAGAAGCCTCCCTCTCCCCCGTGTTATCTCAGCCCTGACTGGGCCATCAAATTGCCTCCTCCTCTTTAGCAGGAGTCTTTCAACACCATCACTTCCTTCCACAACCATCCCTCCCACCAGAATTTCTGCAGGTAGAAATCTTTTCTACCCCAGCCCCCTGCAGGCAGATTCCCTCCTATTTTCACAGTAGAGCCAGCAGGAAAAGAGGAGGTCACATACCTGAGCCCCAAAAAGCACTGCCTGCCTTTTAGCAGGAGACCCTAGACCCTACTGCAGCTTTAGTCACACACACTGCCACTTTCCCTTCTTTACATACAGTCCCTGCTGCTAAATACAACAATTACGGGTTCATGCACCCACATCCCAGAACAGCTCAAACAGCCAGTCACACTTGTGCCAACAAGGGGAGAGGTGAGGGCAGGGGTGGGCACAAAGCCCACCAGTGAGCTTCTGGCCATAGACAAAAAGGACATTACATCACCAGAGCTGGTTCAAGGTACCCTGCTTTTGGACCTCAGCAAGTGGGCTGAKAATACAAGGTGATAGTCTCACATACAAGTCATCCCCCAATCTGCTTTCCTTCCTCACCRTCCAAACAGTTTGTTAAGAAAAACCCCACAGTAATGTTGAGGACAGGTTATTGCTACATACTTGGGAATTAGTTTCCAATGTAAGGCATGGGAAGGGTAGGGGTTTGATGTGTGATTCCCAGGRGAAATCTTGGCCCATCAACTTGGTATACAACTTCTTGACATACCATCCTCTGCTTTTCTGTAGCAATAAACCATGTTGTCAGCTCACAACTCTGCTGGTTGCCATAGCACTTACCCCAGGAAAAGTTTGCTATGATCTAGGCAGCCAGTGCCATCTAAACTGACAAGGAGGGTCGTTCGCACAGGTTGCAGTGTAAAGACCAAAAAGACTTTCAGGAGAAGTGAGATGGGGTCTGAATCTGCTYCTCAAATATCCTTAGTGGTTTTAGCCCATTAATGACAGAGATCAAAGTAGACTCCAACCCAGATTCTGAGTGTCACTGYAGTGTCCCACTAAGAGCCACAGGATATCTAGGATTGGAAGTCATGACCATAATTGGCCCCAGTCACTTCACTTGCCCCTTCCTGCAGTTTTCTGTTAAACTTCTTGCTGGCTTTGAAATATCTGCACAATAACTAAACCACAAAGTCTTAGCAGAGACTCCTTTCAACAGTCAGGTCTTTATTTTAAGTCAACTTTTGCTCAGACTCCTTTGGTAAATATATGGTTTKAAGTAGATCAGGGACAGACTGACAGCACGGCCCTTCTCTTACACTGTTCTAATCAGCTACAAAGCAGGTTCCATTRCTAATTACTGAACGTTTTTAAAAAAATCCTTTCATATACAAAAAGAATACACCAAGTACATAACCAAAAGTGATATAAAACTCTTCTGTGTAGCTTGGTTAAAAGGGTCTCCGCGTATTGGCAGAACAAGTATGAAAAGAGCACCATTGATATAATATACAGTCAGACGATGTATCTGGTTTCATTGCCACACTTTATGTCTACACAGAGAGACACTGCCCCGACACAGATAGTCACAGGTGCCTCTCTTTGCTTCCCTTGATCCGCTGAGCATCTTTGGCCCAATAGGACTCTCATGCAGGTGGAAAAACAAATCTTTGTTATGTTGATTTGCTCCMAGCAACTTCACCTTCCCCAGGATCCAGAAGTGACACAGCAACGYATGTGGAAGATAAGGGTCAAAAAGGGAGAGTGCGAAGGAGCACACGTATCATCCAAATCACTGACAGCTTCTGGCATCAGTCTTTTTCCCTGAATCAACAAATGCTTCCCTCTCCTGCAAACTACTTTACATGGTTATGTTAAGCTATTCTCTGCACAACAATATATATATATATATAGATATATAGACTTTATTTACTTTATATATATGTATTCATGTCAAATTTTTAATATACTCAAGAAGATACAAAGCTCTTGGTACTTGCCTTTTTTTTAAAGTTTTTAAATTTTTTTTTACAAAAAATGTAGATGGTTACTATTACAGTAATATTTTGGGGGAGGTGAGATTGTTGAATACTTCCCCTTTTTAGTTACAAAAGAAACGGCAGGCACTGAAAACCGCAAATGATGTTTTCTAGACTCAAAAATGTGCTTTCCAGTCACACCGTTTTTAGGAGCTTGTTTAAAACTAAATGTGGCAATCAAAGAACAGTGGCAACCAAGTAAAATCAGCAAAAGTCCTGTCATGCTGCTACTGAGACATTTGCTTCCTATTCTCATCTGCTKCCCTCCCTTGACCAATGCCTGGAGRAAATCAGTGATCTGAAGTCATTTAGTTCACRGCATTTCCAGATACCACATTTGCAGAGTATGTTCTCTTGAGGTAAAYATTCCCCTACACAAAGCAGGCCTTGGCATCCTGGAGGAGAGCTGCTGCACACAAGTGATTTTCACACCAAATGAAATATGCAATCTCAAAAGAAAAGYGAAGGAACACAGAAACCATGACAAACCAGTTCCCTTTGTGGCATTTTTCATCAGGATCTATAGCCCAAAGCAAACATGGATCCAACACTGAAAAATTTACCATCAAATATAAGCGACAGACCCATCTCAAATTTACAGMATATTCAAAATAAGACATCCTACAAAAAAGCTCCTATTTCCTTCAATGTCTTAACAGCTATGGCAAAAGTTGTTAATCTGTGTCATCAATGCAACAATGATACATTTAACATGWAMAAGCTCCTTAYTGCMATCKTTGAGAACATGAAAATAGAAAGCCAGCCAACTCCATTTCTCAGCACAGATTTCTGAACCAGGGACACTGAAACCTTCCATAAACTGCTTTTCAGTATGTGGAAATAAAAACAGAGACATTACAGAATTCAAAAGGCAGAAGTATTGTACACCAGATTATAATGATAATATAGCACTGTGATTGATATAGCTTACTCTAAAAGCAGATTATACAGCTTGCATCAATTTTGTCATCCACTCTCCAGTTCATTTGACTAGCGTTTAATAGTTTTTGTTTTGCATTTTCTCCCTTCATTGAAATCCAATAAACCCACTCAACATTCCTGCACTTCCTGTGGGAATAATAAAGAAAACCTAAACATTTTTCAAAAAGCCTTCAAAACATTAGGAGTCACAGTTCAAACGAAATCCCCCGAAACAAAAAYCAAAACAACGAGCCCCAAACCAGAAAAGTGCTATTCTCCTCGTGACTACACCTACGATATCATTTCAAACACCCTGCAGTTCCTCTCTCTCTGTGAAGCTGCCRCATGACCTGCACTTCTCCAGCTTGGCACCATCCACATGTAAGAGTCACCTAAGAACGCAGCCAGCTACATGGAAGCTTGGATTCTCTTTTCTTGCTTTTCTTCTTGCAGGAGTGGGAGGGAGGGCGGGGGAGGCAGTGGCTGTTTCTGGTGGGAATGTCAGGGAGTTAAGCAGCAGAGTGTCTCGCTGTAAGGCATCGTGCTCCGCTCGGCGATGGCACTCGGGTGGGTTCGCTCCCCACGCCCTCCTGGAACCTGCAGCCCTCCCAGTCTGAATGGCAGTGGTGACTGATGAGATCCTCTGTGTCGATTCAATGTTTGTTTCTCCCCCTCAATCAAAAAAAATGTGGTTGAACTTTAGCCCTGCAAAATAAAGTCAGAACTGATTAATACCAGTCAGTAACACGGCTTTGGTGATCTCCATCACCTCACTGGAGATGCCAACCTATCTCAACACAATGGGTATGTCTGGGAGAAAAAGAGCAAAGACTTCATCTTTCAAAGTCAGGACCCCACCCTGCCCTGAAGGGCTTCACTGCTTAGAACAGAGTGCAGGAGTGGAACAGGCACCACACACACATTGATCCCAGCCACGTGCCTGAGCCACCACAGCCGAGCACACAGCACTGAGCAGCCGTGGGGGCCAACAGTGCCAAGAGCTGCTCTGTGACAGCACCTCACAATACAAAAAGCCTCCTCTGGGCAGGTGGTTCCAACCCAGGAACAGGAACAATCTGTTAACACCTGGTATTTCTACTAGACTGAAAAGAAGGAGGGGAAAAAAATATCCAGCACCATCACCCAGAAACATACAGGAGTTTTCTCTCCTGCTAATGCAAGGGAYTTTCATGTAGAATTATGGAGTTGAATGATGGTTCATGGCTTGGAATTTGGGAAGTCTGTTGCCCACTCTGATGGGAAAGTTGCTCAGTGCCTTCGTGAGAGTCACTAAAATTTTCCTTTATTCATAGCCAGGGGCACAACACCTGCTGTTCCAAACATAGCATCCTCTGACTGAGTGCCAGAAGGTATCACCGGAGTAACTTGAGTAAGACAGCAGGACACAGATTAGCAGTGGCAGGAGCAAAGAAAGGCCAGTGACATTACTGAGGAACTTGGCACATGGCAAAGGCAGACAACCAGAACACAACAAAAAGGCACCTTTCTTTAGTGATACACAAAAAAAAAAAAAGAAAATGGTAAGTGGGAGTTGTGGGTCACTGTTTATTGTGTAACCAAAACCACTCCTTGCAAAGTTACTTGTGTACAGTCAGCAGCTTTCCTCTTGTAATTCGTGGGAACCTCAGGGAATATCCAAAAATAGTCAAGGATATGTTTTTTTCTTAAGTCTCAGGCTAATCCTTATAATGAGCATAGAGGGGGAAAAATGGTTGGAAGCAGGAACACACTACTCAAATTCATTCCCATGGTCTAACAGCAGAAATATTTCACATTTCAGCTGACAACCAATCATTCACAATATTAATTTGCTGCCTGGTTATTTGACAGGTTATTTTTTAATCAAACAGTGGTGTTTGATTGCATTTCATAAAGATACACTGAATAATACAAACATCTTTTTTTTTTCCCAAATGCATTTTCCTGTAAGTTAGCAGTTAGATTTGAAGAGATTCCACAGCTATACAGATCATGCACAAGAGAAGTTATTCACTAGCCCCAATTACCATTAAAATGACCTACCATGCATGCAAATTAGACCCAGGAGTCAACAGGCTGGGGTTTAATGTCACGGGCATCCACCAGATTCACCGAAGCCCTGTTACTCCTGTTAATGTTTTTCCTATTTGTGTCATTCTGCAGCACAGGGTGAGGAGTTAAAGCAAAACAGAGCGGATTAATCAAACAAAACCACCAAACAAGTCAGCTTAAAGTAGCACAAGGGAAAATTAGTGGTAGAGAAAGAAACAAGATCAGCAAAGGCACAATACTGACAAAAGCATGTGCAACAACCAAAAGGCCACACTTCTCAGGATTCCCAGCCCCCCTTGAGCCTCAGAGCCATGGCTTTCACACAGCTCCCACGCCACAACCCCCACAGCCACATTTGTGCTGGCAGCACAGGGAAGAGGAGCGGCAGCTGCTCAGCTCTGCCAAGGTGAGGGCAGGGCYGTGCACACCCTTGGTGTGTACAACAACCTGGATTCAGGCTAACCCCCAGGTGCTCAGAACCAAGAGGCAGCACAGACTGTGGGTCACRCATTGCTGAGGTGAAATGTTCTTTCTGTCCTTCTCAGAAAAGGAGCCATTTGCTGAACGCTGGTTGTGCTTCACTTCAGAGTAGGGATACTTGATGTGATTTTCAGGGTTGTATTGGATCACTTTAATAAATTCTGAGTGGCAAAAATAACAAGCACTTGCTAATTTTCCTACCTTAGCCTGTTTTTCTAAAAAGACATTTTCTGCCAAGCTCCTATTGATCAACATTCTTATATAACTTGCTGCATCCATTCCTGCTGTATCCTTGCAAAGCATACTAGGATTGTGATAAGGGAACTAGAAAGTTTATTTGATTGATGCTGGCTCAAGCAGGGCTATCTCTGGCCAATTGGAGGAGGGGCACATATTGTAGGACTTCAGTAATCAGCTTAAAAAAAGTCCAGCCAGACTGAAGCCACTCTCCAGGGTGTACCTTCATGGAAAGGCAGAACACAGCAGGAAATGCCTGAGCAGGCAAGTTAAAACAGGCAGGTTGGTGCAGCAGGACATCTTCCTTATTCACCATMTAGGCAAGTACTTCTCTCCAAATCACATTTTTTTTATTTCTCTTGTTCAGTGATGGTGGGTTTGCATTTCAACTGATTGGAGTTTAACTGTTTCCACTCAACATGAATCACCTGGATTTTCTGGTGTTATCAACAGCATGATGAAGGTTATTGAGGACAGCCTTCTGCAGATAAGCAATAGTGTCTCCTAGCACTGACTCTTTTTTCAAAGAATCCTCCTTTACCTTCTCTAATTTACACCCCCAGGGGAAAACCCAAGCTTTTTTAATTTAAGGCCAGGGAGAACTGGTGGCCACAGTATTAACAGACTTTTTAAAGGTCACTGAAAAGGTACAGCAATGCAAMAGAAATAACACAGAGCCTACTGAGCCACATTTGCACACAGCCCACAATACAATAAGCCTTGTGAAGCAAGAATTCTTTCAAAAGTTGTCTAAACTTGTATTTAGAAGGCACACACATAACTGTGAGTGCCTCTCCTTCCTTCTCCATCTCCCTGGCCCATAGCCATGSTCCACTATCAGGACTGCAAATGAGTGTTGTAGAAATGAGTACTGTTCACCACACTGCTGGACATGGACACACAAAATCACACCTRTTTCTCGTGGTAAAGACAATAAAGCAGCGTGACAATCTGAAGAGACTTGTCAGAACAAAGTTTGAGCACAGTTACACAGCTCAGGGCCAGGGAATGCTGCCTGGACAAGGGTGAAAGAACAAACACTTTCTATTTTTACAACCTCATCCATTTACAAGAGTACAGAAACTACCTGCATTTGCTCCTGCACTGGAAAGCAGCATTTTGTTTTTATTTCTAGTTAGCCAAGTGCTAAATTAAAAAAGAATGACTTTATGTGAAATGAAAGAGGCACTTTACAGCCCCCTGGTGAGTAACTACCCTGTGTTTCTGGCTGAGGACACTCAACTCCCTTCCTTTCCAAGGCACTAACAAGCACTCAGCAGGAAGAGCGAGCTCACTTTTAAAGGTTCTTTCTCAGAGGCATCCCCTGTGTTATCACTGGTCTTGTACTTGCGCTCCTTGTCCCGGTGGTCGATGGTGGAATATCCATCTGAGGAGAAAGAACATAACAATCAGGCATGAAGCACAAACAAGAGCACAAACAGAGCTGATGCAAGCAGAATTCTTCAGCAAAGGAACAGGAAAACAAACCACCACAACCCAAAGATGCCGGCAGCCTGCTTCTCATGTGCTCCAGCTCTGAAATTTCATTTTTACCAGCTAAAAACAAACAGAGAAGCCTTCTTTTTATAGCACTGCCAGATGCTGGCACTCATTAGCAAGCMGCACTGTTTTCATCCCAGCCTGCTGCACTTTTTAGTGTGCCCAAGGAAAGCAGCAAGTTGTCATCTCATGCCCTGTGGCTAATGAGCTCCAAATTCAGCCCAAATCCTGCTTTCCTTGCTTAGCAGCCTGATTAATTGGCTGTGTTCATTCTCTGAATGCTCTGCAGCCTGTTCCCACTTTTCCTGAGCCTGACTACTAGCAGGACATGACAATAATTTGGAAGAGTCCCCATCAGAGCACTGAGAAAAAGGGCCTGTCGAGTTGGAAGAAATCTCCATGCAAACCCTGCTGTGCTTGGGCTGTCTTTCATTACGAAGCAGCACCTGTTGGTTTCTTTTTTCCTGACAGCTAAGGAAGAGCATGAAAGCATGATGAACACAAGCAAGAAAACTGTGAGAGGGTTTTATAAAGAAATATCTCTAATTATTTCAGAACCTCTGCTTTGAATAATTGTCAAACAATGCAAAACTTAATTTGTTTTCCTGATGCATCAAATTTCCCTTATTATCAGTGACAAATAGATCCATGCTTGCTTTGCTCTGACAGCGTAGTAATCTGGAGTAAATGACACCCAAATTTATAGCTCCCTGTAGGCTTTTGTCTTCCCCTTCGTCATTGAGGGATCATTAATGTTTTCCTGTCCTGACAAACTGGGTTTTTTAGAATACCACAAGAAGCTTTTACATAAACTATCAAAATGCTTCTCTCTTGGTTTATTACTTTCCTGCAACAGGCCATTAAGAAAAAGTGAGTGATGTATTTSTGGGGTTTCTGTGGCACTGTTTGCCCATATGACAACTGCACAGACAGCCAGCTCAGATTGAGAAGAACTGCAGTGCTCTCAAACCCAAGTGCACACAGACCTGCAAACAAGCACCTGAGGCAAAACATATTTTCAACATCAACAGCATAACAGATTATTTAACCACACTGACCAAAAATAACTGAAGAATTCTGGAGTTATACGTGTAGTTCACAGATCATAAAGCATGGAAGTATTTGCTACACAACACTTAACTTACAATTACTTGTTGACAATGAAGATGCCTGACATTCTTAGCTATTCCTTTTGAACAAAAAAAGAAWAAAACCAGCTGCACCCAGCTACCCAGCCAGCACTTTTGGAGGAACACATGACCGATTAATTCTCTGTCAAGTGACAGGCATGAACACTGCTAGCAGGCTATGTCCTAAAGATTCATCAGTTATTTAGGACGTTTTTATTCCAGTTCCCTGGGATTAAAGATAATAAACTAGATAAATTAAGTCTCTTTTCAGCTGACCTCTGAAATAGCACAAAGTTATAGTCATATTGGAGGTAAAAGGCACTCAAGAGCTGGGATAAGGAAAACTTGACAGCTTTCATCTTCTAAAGGTGATAAAAAGACTGGAGAACAGTGTGGCCCAGAGAATCTGCCTGATACACATGCAGTAAATTTGCATTTTGTTTTGTACTCAGGGTTTTACCAGTAATTCCTGAGAGCATAAGGCAGCAATTAATATTGAGACTATGAACAATCAGCACTGCCCATTCTGCAGCACCTGCCAGCACACAGCTATTCCTGCCAGGCAATCCTCTCTGACAACATTTTCTTCCATTGTGAAAACAAATGTTTCAGTGTTCCCTAAGGCAAAATACATACGGACAGTTGATTCATGGCAGGTGGCATCTCATTTCTCCAAGAATATGAAAGTTAATATAGACCTGTTCTTTTACTTTCTGGATGTGTTTGGCTTTTGCTTGGCTCTAACTTGCTAATTTATTCAGCTACAATCACTAATAGCAGTGTATCAAACTGTTTGATCTGGAGGCATTAATATAGGTGAAATTAAAYAAAAATAACAAAAATTGGAAGAAGTAAAGCAAATTCTCAATAAACCACACAGCATCTTTATCTACCTTGGTAAAGAAGAAAACCCCTCTACAAGTTTAACACTAAAGATCTTATTAGTTGGAAAACACAACACTGATAGTCAGTGGCTGTTCTCAATCTATAGGAAAAGCCAGGCATGTTTAGATGCAGGTAAATGGAAAATAAGCACAGGATTATCACACACAGTAACTTATTTTTGTTGTTACCTACAAAAAACAAAGGTGGAACACACTTAAAGACAAGCAATACAGTGAAACAGATTTCAACTCTTTTTTTTTTCCTTTCTGTATCCCACAGACTTTCAGACCTGCAACATGGAATGCAGCTGCCTCAGGGGCCAAAGAGCAGAATGACATCTGGGTCAGTGTATCTCCAATATATGCATAAAGTAGTGAAGAAATTGGTGTGTACACTCTACATGTATATAAAGAAAAAAAAAGGGGAAAAAAAAAGATGACCAATCTTTTGTGAGGTAATGTTCTGTTTTTAAATGTCAGCTTTATCCATCTGAAATAATATCTCCTGGAGAAATAGTTGAACTTTCCTGTGAGTGACAGTGTGCTCTATTGGAACAGACAGAGAGTTTGATCTATGACTGAATTTACCTGGGCCAAGTTCATCCATAGGTATCATATCACGACTCCCAGACTTCTCATTATCTACAAATGAAGCATTGAAACAATTTGAGTTACATTTGCTTTCCCCAAAATCTGGTAGTTTTAAATTAGTCACAAAACCAGAGMGGTCCATAAAGTACTGCATGCAGAGATTATTGTTTAAAAAACCCCAAATATTCCAGTGTTATCCATTCAGAAAGGGAAGTCTGAATCAAATTCTCCAGAGAGTACATATAATCCATGTATTTTCTGCTTTGGCACTGTAATATAGGACTTTCTCTCTCCAACAGAAACCACAGTTCTGCTTTGGACTACCTACCACTACTAACAAACTTTTCTTTGGTCTCTCCAGAATAAAAGAGAAAGAAACTAAGTAAGGGCACAGCTTCTCATGGCACACAATCCAATCCAGCAACCTGCTGAGCCAACAGAAAASTAATCTACAAAGAAAACAAGTTTCTTGTCACATCAGCAAACTGACCCAAATCATCCTCTGTCTGCATAATGTGCCAGGTTTGATCAAAGACAGGGAAGCTGGAAAGAGGCAGGGCAGTGTAGGGCTGTCATTTCTGCAGTAACCAGAGAAACTGCACCAGGCAAACCCTGCTCTTAGCAGAGGAAGAGGCTCTGCAAAATGGGCACGTTTATTTAAAAAAGGGTATGACCCCAATATAGAGTCAGGGTAAGGTTGACCCTTACTTTAAGGAAAATTTAACTGCTAACACTGCATCCAAGTGGAGGAAACAGGATCAGCAGTGTACATTTTGTAAGGGAAGGAATACTATCCATCTCCAGGTAATAAGGACTGATCATTTTGAGACTGTGGGGTAAAAACCATCACACAAATAATTCATTTTTATCCCCTCGTGCTGTAAGACAGTTGTAGCAAATCCAAAAAACAAGTAAAGCACTGTAAGACAAGTGATAAAGAGCAGAACTGACCTTGACTTTTATCCACCAGAGGCAAAGTGCTGTCGTCGTAGCCAGACCTGCCAGCAGTACCTTTGGAGCCCTTTGGAGCTGCAGAAACAGACTACRAGACAAAAACCACACAAATACCAAATTGCTACTCACAGAAACTGCACAATAGAAATAAACGAACCTACAGCATGGACAGAGATTATGGAATGCTCCCAAGCACCTTTCTGTTGGTAATATGGAAATGGAGTATTTTCACTTTCACACAGGACAAGTTTTCTCCTTGTTATCTCAATGGCAGCACTGTTGCTCTGTAAAAGGAGCAAAACCCTTCCAACAAGAAAAGGTGAGGAGGCTGCATGTCAAGCAGAGGTGGCTGCCCTGTGCTGCAGTACAGAATATTTCAAATGAGACACGACTAAGGTAAGACATGCTGATCCTTCCTCCAGTAAATCGGGGCATTTGGCCTGTACAAGATGGCAAACTCCCCAAACCTAAAGAGGGACATTCCAGAGGCCACAGCAAAGCACAGCCAGCAAGTGTAGGCACAATGGTGTGCTGAGTAAGGTACAAGCCACTGTCTCTCACCTGGAAGAACAGAAGTGAAGACTAAGATCTACAGACTGCAATATCAGCCTAAGTTAGGACATCTTCCACTCAGGCATTTCCAGAACTAATTTTAAAGATCCAGCCCCTTTACCTGAAAGTGTGACTTGTTCCACCCATCCTTCTGAAGGGCATTTCGTAGTTCTTTATAGCTCCAGATCATCTGAAGAATGTGAGATGCTGCTTTTGTTTCTCTGGGAGACTGGCTGATTTGCAAGATAAAATTACAGTGTAAGTATCAAGCAAGGTCAGACTATTTGCATGTTAACACCTAATACTCTATTATTTGAACCTTGAAGTTGTGGGCTATATATGAAATCATTCAGTGACTTCTGTATAGTTGCAGGTATTTGCTAAAAAACAAACAGAAATCAAAATGTTTTAACTTTTGCATATTTCTGTGTTTTCACATGCAATGCTGGACAAGCACCGAGGCCAGTGCGACCCTTTTGTCTTGTAGCTTCATTGACAAAGAACAGAGAGATTCCATTCTGCCTAGATTTATTCAGGGAAAAAATCAAAGCCTCAAACAAAAAAAAATATTCTAAGCTACTTTTCAAACCTTCACCCCAATGTACATACATTCCTCACAATTTAAATAAGTTGCTCCATGGTTTAAAATACCTTATAAAGTAGTGTCAGAAAAAAAAAAGGTGCTGTTTTTAAATAGGAAATGAAATTTTATCAATTCCTGACTAAGTCCATACACAGACACCTTCTATAACATAAAACTGGCCAAGATTTTTGGTGGCTCTCGTATTTCGTAACAATGCAACCCAAGAAAGCTATTTCAGCTACTCTCCCAAAAGTTTGTAGCAAACATACCTGCAGGAAACAAAATAAAGTTTCCTCTACAGCAGTCAGAACAGTTTGAATGGAAGAATATCTGTTACTTCAAATCACTACTACCAGCCCTTGGGCCAAAACAATTACTGCACATCATTAACCATTTCACTTGAAAGAAACAGATTTCATCACTGGCATTCCAGGAGTGGAACGCTGCCACAGAAAAAAGGTCTCTCAAACAAAACCGAAGTTGCACTCCAAATGCTGCCTGGTAAGTGTATACATGATGCTAAGATGTCTCTGACAAAGGAGAGAGCATGTCTTAACATGACTGAAGTGAATCATTAATTAACCTTTTGCACCAAGTAAATCTTTTAAAGGTGCTGGCTGTTTGTACTTCGTATGTATTAACTGCTGAAATTGTAACTCTGAAAGGTTGGGATGCTCCAGTACTTTCACAAAGCAGAAGCTGCTGTTTATAGTGACATTTTCATATTTGCAAGGGGTTCTTATGCATTTTGCTTTCAGCTGTCACTTACCTTGACTTGCTGATAGCTACCAGCTTCTGAATGCCCTGTGTCTGGATCAGAGACCTTGCATTTTCTGAGCTGTCAGTAATGATTTCATGGATGGTATTCAACACTGCAACCACTGTATCTTCTTCCAGGTTCTTTGCAGATCTCTGCTGCCTGCTGGGTAAATTTCTTACCAGCTCACCCATGGCATAACTACCTAGGTAAGGGGAAGAGAAACCATTATTAGGCAGCCCTAATAATCAATTCAGCTTCCCATCCTGAAAGATAAAAGTGAATGGTGTTTGCTAAGTTGGGAAAACCCTTACAATGCATGTCTTTTATACCTCAAGACTGTAACTTCACAGGGTATTTATCATTCATTATTTCAAAGTGATTGACAGCTGATATAGCTAGGATAAAGTCCTTCATCAAGGATTCTAAAAGGTATTGAGGGGGGGAAAATGCCATTTTTATTGAGAATTTTACAGCCAGCATATATCATATTTTGCAAAGCCTGAGGCAAAAAAGCATCCAGTAGCTGCTGTTAATGCCACGTATTCATGCTAATACACGCACATGGCTGACTCGAGTTAGCCTTGTAATAGGCCTTCTGGGGCAAGGTGTGCAGCCATGCATTTATTAACCTTCCCCCAACAAAAGTAAGACTATTTCCTCCTGGGTGCAGTTTGCCTTCTCAGTGTGTGATACTGGAGAAAAAACAGGAAATCTGGACTTTATCACTCCCGGGTATCCACCTGTACCATTTGAGTGGCTACACCTCTGAACTATTAAAAAGAGGGTCTTTCAAGGGTGTCCAAGGTTCCAGCCTGGTTGGAGAAGTTCAGGAGATACCTATGAGATCTTTRTTGCGACGATCCATGGAAAGGTTTCTCAGGGCGATGGACACAGCCCTCACGACCTTGTCTGAGTCAGACTGGAGCAGCTCCACCAGCACTGGCAGCCCCCTCTCCTTCCGCACCGTCGCACGGATGTACGTGGACCACTRTGGGGGCACACGAGGGAAAAGAAACAACACCAAACACTGTGAGTTCATCCACCTGCCCCTTCCTTGCCCCTGGCATTTCTTCTAGAGCTGTAACCCAATTTTTTCTCTGCAAAGAAGGTTGTATGTGCTGATGTATCACATTGCCCTAAGCCATGATTCAAGTTCAGCAAGCACCAAGGAAGAAAGGATGTACAAGTTCATCCTACAGCTAAGCCAGCTTCTGGGGAAAGAGGGCAGGAACAGAAGGAAGGAGCATCATCTGCCAGCATCTGTTCTGTACACCCTTGGAGTGAAATACATCCCTCTGGATTAGGAAAAAAGAGGTCACTTGGAAGAAACAGTAAAGCATCTAAATGATCTGTTTTCTTCCTCCTCCTCCAGTTACATGCTTTTGTTCTGTTTTATGATTGTTTTTTAAATAAGCTTGTATTATTTAAAATAAACTGTACTCAAGGCAGCTGATCAGTCCCACTTTGCCAAGCAATTGTAGAAGTGATCAGGCAAATCTTTGAGAGAATTGCCTGACTGGCGCTGGGGACGCTTCACAGAAGGYATCAGAGGACACTCTGGATTGCAGTTTCTTCAGCAAACTGACAATCGAAAAAATTAAGTATTCAGGACACTTAACTATCTAATATCTGGCTTTTCTAAATGGATGAAGCAATGGTTAAATGGTGAAAGTAGTAGAAGTTGYTCATGGTTAAACTGAGATGAGCTCAGTGCCAGTTCCACCAGTCCAGAAGACCCAAAACATCTTCAGTGAGAAAATGGAAATAATTTCCTTGACATTCTCATCTCCTTCCTTTTTAAAGGAGATACAAATGCTCAAAGTAAGAGCACACTTACAATGGGACATCCATCYGTTCCTTACTTACACAGAAGAAACAAAAAAGGATGAAGAGAAAACCACACTCACCGTCCAGTTGCCAGCACTAAGRTTCTGCAAAGCTCCTGCTGCAGCTTCCAGAGTGTTGAAGTTCTGACTTTCRGTGAGGATGGAGAGGTACAGTCGGACCACATCTGGCTGGTACAGTAATTCAAAGCCTGCAGGTGGGGCAAGAGGAGAACAGAAGCAAGAGAAGCAATATATGAATAAACACACACTTTATTTAATCACATAAGAGAACAACCAAGTGAAAGCTGTTACATCACAGGAAGGGAGCTTCTGCCACATCCAGGACATTCTATCCACAGTTGTTGGAAATGGTGGAGACAGCAACTCATGCAGAGAATGTTCACCTGGGCTGAAGGTCACTTTACTCATCTTGAGGTTGGCAATTCTTTCTGAAATCTGTGCTATGCTATAAACTGCTCAGCATGCATGTAATGACAAGGTGACAAGAGACAATTTTTGCCTGCAACAATTCTTACTTTGCATCTCTAGACTGGGCTGAAAATTCACCTTGCACTCCTGTCCTCGTTCAAATCTCTCTCAATACCTTTAGAGATACAAAGAGTAGGGCCAAAGCGAGTGAGCTGCACCATCCTGCCAGCCAAGCCCTGCACACACCCACGGGACAGAAGGAAGAAGCAGGATGTCAAGGTGACCAGAATCCTCAATTGTGAGGGACATGAAAGAACACTCACTCCAGTTCAAATATTCAGCACAGAAATACACTGGCATTGCCACACATGGGGAGACTGTGACAGCCACATCTGTTCACTGCAGATCCCCAGAGTCACTGGATCAGCTGCACAGTTAAAACATGACGGGAATGAGAGATATTCCCAGCTCTGCCAAAGATTTCCTTTTGTGATGCTGAGTAACTGACAATAGCATGGTGTCCTGAATCCTCATCCATAGGATTAGGATTTATCCATCTACCCACATTAAAAAGARGGTCTTAGGCAAGAACTCCATCACTCCAAGCTGCCGCACTATTTGAAGCAATTTTTACCTGTCTTCCTTCACTAAGTGTAGTATGACACACTGCGTCAATGAAGGCAGAGCATGTCAAGCACCTGCTTACAGAACAGGCCAGACACACCATCTCAAAGTGCTGTTCTGATTATGTGAACAAAAACTAAACCCCCGAAGTGCCTTKGTGAGTGCAGGATGGCGTCAGCAGCTTCTTGTGACTCATGTGCAGTCACTGCAGCTGGTCTGGTGGCCTTTGGGGTGTTTGCRGTAAGGTTCAGCAAGCACTGACTAGGAGAGGATTCCTAGAAAAACATGACATCAAAGAAAGCATAAAGGTGTGAAGAAGCCTGGGCAGAGGGAATTTCAAGCATGTTTTGAGTAAAAGAATTTATTATTATTTGTACACATGAAAAGAATGTTTTTCACATAACAAGATGCTGCCCTAGAATTGTAGCATAATTCAAAGCAAGTTTTCCACTAGCAAGACAGGAAAATTCCAAACACAAATCACTTCCTCTCTTCAGTACTTTCTCTTCAAAATCACCCATCTCTCATACACACATTGCAGATTGTCACATTTTAGACATCTTGGAGCAATGCTACCCTATCCAGTGGATACAGTTGGGCTTTTTCCTTGGTGTTCAGTTGTTGTGGGGTTTTTTTTTTCTGTTTCTTTTTGTTTTGTTTTTAAATTCTCTCTAGCTAAAGACCTCCTGAAATAAAAGGCTTGATTTTAAATGGAACTATTTCTCCATACCCTTCATACCAGTTATGGCTGTGTTGCTATATGACTCACGATCTGAGAACTGAGCCCTTTAAACCCAGTGTAACACTACCCATAAACACAGGTTGTGTTAAACCCCTGGCTGTACAGGGGTACTCATTCCAAGAAAACACAATCAGCCAAGGTTTATTCCATACCAAAAATCTGATCTCTGCATGGGAGTCCATGTGCTGGCTCATACTTTCCGTGCTCAGCCCCTCATGTGCATCCCAGCACGCCTGGACCCTTCTCCAGTGACCGGACACTTAACCTGCTCCACGTCTGGGCCTTGTTTTAATGCCACCACTTGCCTGCTACACATGACACCCTACAGATATGTGCAAGCTRCAACAGATGGCAACCCCCAAAGGCATCCTGCCAATCCATACCACTGACTTTCCTCTTCTCCAGTGTCCTCTCTTTGTGCTGGAATCATTGCCCTCTATACTGAATGCTGAGGAAAAACTGTCGTTACTTAATCCACGAAGCATGAGCAGTTGTAGTGCTTTCCTCCATTCCTTGAGTATATGTATGATTATCTGACTCCAGTATAACCTTCAGATCACCCTTTTCCCCTGCCACTTCACAAGGTGAATTGGCAACCTAAGAACTCCTCAAGAAAAAACACTGCTGATAAGCACCTGGTGTTCCTTTCCTGAACACTAATACTTAAAAATCTCTTAGGATAGCCTACTGGAATTTTGACACTGTTATCTTTTAAGGAAGCTTTGCTGAAATGTAAATCAGATCAGCTGAAGAAATGAAGGCAGGTTCATTAATAGATAATATTCATACAGAACATTTTCTGCTTCTGTATCTGAGCTCAGACTCGCCTGTGGTTCAACAGGATGCAATTGAGCAGCCAGTCTTCTGTTCAGAAGTACCCAGTTATAATTTTGGCACACTTGGAAACAGCCCCACACTCGTACTCTGTACTGCAATTTAAATGCAGTCTGTGATGTGCCCTTTCTGTCAGTCTGTACGCTCTTTTTTGGTGGGACACACTTCCTTCCTCAGCACCTCGCTGTGTGTGAATACTGAGATGCTGTAACCCTCTCACCTCTGCTTCCCTCCTGTGGATACAGCTGTATTCCAGTCACGCACCTCCCACCCTCTCTCTGTCATTACCTCTCTCCATGCATGAAAGCCTCTCCTTTTTCCTACTTACATTAGTAAGAGCATCTCAAAAATGCCTTCACCTTCTCTCTTCAATAATGCACAGCATTTTCTCTACAAACCACCAGTACCCTCCTGCTTTGGGGCATCACTCCTTAGCCAGGTGGTAGACAATTCCCACCTCACTCCACAACCCCCACCTTCCCAACTACATTTCCTCTGCCCTGTCTTAAAGTCAGTGAGTGCTACACACCACACAGAGCTCCGTCCTCCCTCCAGCCTCCCCTGCTCCTCTCCCAGCGCTGCAGCTCTCCTGGGTCAGCTGGGAAAGGCAGCAAGACTTGCTRAAGTCAAGTATCAAAAATGCCCATCATGGAGGCTGCTCATTAGCAGGGATGAGAACCTAATAACGAGGAAGTTACTGCTGCACTGGAGGGTTTTCCCTCTATGACAGCAAGCTGACACTTTTCATAAGCATTATAGTGCCTTAAAAAGAAACAAACAAGTTTTATATTTTCTCCATCTGCCTCCTGTCCTAATGAATCCAGCTCTGCTATTTATAGGATGCAATTTGTCTGAATTATTATARATTTCCTTCCAGTGTTGCATGAAGGCCTCGCACATTTTTCCATGAAGCGCTTCAAGCACGTTCCTGGGAAGCACAGCTGGTCTCACCTCCATTAAGCACCTGCTTCTTTTCAAAACTSATTTCCTTAATTTCAAGATCATCTTAATTATTTTCTCAGGTAATGCTACTTTTATGCAATATACAGCTARCTCCTTAGAACCATTTAAAAATGGATAGAAGAAATGAGAAAACAGGGTCATTAGCRATAGAGAATAGATCAAACAAGAAAAACATCCACTGTTTTGCTTCTTTCTTTAAAAAGCTCTTTTAATKATAGCCCAGATTCAGCACTGTCCTTAAAAAGATAATCCTCACAGAATAAATGAGATTTTTCAATCAGTTATGGATTTGTGCTGAGTTGCAATCTACACTGTTTTCTCCTGGAAAAGCACGGAGATAAGTAATTTATTGCTTTTTTCACTGCAGAAAGCAAAGTAAACAAGTTTGTATTAGCTTTTGCCTTTCYGAGAAACAGAGAAATGCCTTGGACACTGATGTCACTGTGAGCACCAGACCTTTTGCAGAGTGTAAGCATTCCCCCAGCTAACAACAGCACGAACATGTYGCAGAGGAACATCTTCCACATTAGAGTCATCTTCTCCAACAAACACACTGCAGTCTCATCTTTCTGAGAAACAGGAAGATGAGCTTTTTTGCAGCAGAGATGCTCAAAATTGGCAAAGGGACTAGTTCTGTGYGAAGTTCACATTACCAGGAGGCAGCAAGTGGATTATGTTTTATTTGCCCAGAGAACAGTGRCAGCACAGACAGCAATTTCAATCCTGAATGGAAAACACCTGAGGAATTAGCTGGGGCTGAGTAGCCATCTCCATCCCTTCAACCCTCAGTCCCTGTGCTGAGAATGATGCAGCAGTTCCCAGATTATCTCCTCCACAAAACTATTTGCTTTCATCTTGGCAATGCTGATCCTGTGCCTATACTTAGCTACATTCTGGCAATAACRTAAGATACTGCACCAGGTGCCTATCTCTGATACACCCGCTTAATCCCAAATTCAGACAACTCTGTTTGGAACAAGGCTGCCAAACTATTCCCCTTCACCAGCCATTCCATTCAGGATTTATTCCCCGCCTCTACAGGCATGGGAAATTAGATACACGTGGATGCTGGGCAGGTGAGAAATGTCCTTCTGCTGCAGCAGAAATATGCTGCTTGATTTTCTATCMGCACAGAAACTCTGGATTGATGCTTCAAACTGTCAATTTTACAGGAAGCTGGAAGGATGTTGGCAACACTGTAAGAAAAACCTAAGCAACCCCTAAACCGGGTGAGAAAGGGGGGAGAATCACTAATGTGAACAMTGACAGCYACTCCTGCAGTGGGCAGAGGCGATYCCCACTYAYTGCACTCTGGTTCCCARCAGAAGATGCAGCAGCACYTGGACTCCYTTCGGGCTGACACTACAGCAAGATGTGCATTCCCTGCCCGCAGCTCTGAGGGGCTGCCGGCACTGGGAGCYCCGGGGCCGCTGTGCTCGCCCGGAGCCGCACCTGCAGCGCCGGCAGATGGAGCGAGAGGAGCCCGGACTGCACCTCCTCCGCAAGGTCACCCGCAAACACACTTTGCCCAGAGAAAAAGCAGCTCCCTCGGCAACCAGGAAGCTATCAGCCAAAAGCCAAAACAAAAGAAAAAAGGAAAAARGAAAGGAGAGTAAA